ATGCCCTCCCCATTAAATGGCTGTTCCATTCTGAACCATATCATTTGTTTAAAAACAGTTACAATTAAAATAACCAAACTGTATTTTTAAAAGGCACACACACACACACACACACACACACACACACACACACACGTGTATATGTATATTTCTGGATGTTTATGTGTCTAACAGTGAAATTAGATCAAAGTGACCTCCATAAACTGTTAACAACCTGTCTGCATAAATTTCATTTATTTCATTTGACACTTTGGGGCCACTCAACACAGACAGATAAACCAGAGTTACCAAGAAGAAGCCGTTTTTAAAGGGGGTGCATGAGCTTTCAAATCACACTCATATGCACTACATTGTTTATGAGAAATGATGGCCACATTTGTTGTGTGTTTGTGTGTGTGTATCTGCAATGTGTACACCTGCCCCTTAATTACAGGGATGTGGAGATGATTGGTGCCATATTTCGGGGTGAACCTGGCAAGATGGCTTGCATATGTGATGGCCTCTCAGTCATAGGTCTGCAGAAAAGCTGAACAGCATTGACTAAAACCCAGGCCATGAAACATGAGCAGTATTTCAGCTGCTTCCTGGTATGCGTTGGTCCTCAAAGGAAGAAAACTAGATAGGACATGAATGGTTATTAGTCACATTGTAAAAGAAAAAGACATTTCAAGCCTCTTGTTGCAAAATGATCGTTGTGTTGGTGCTTACAAGTATTTTAATTAAGAAATTGTTTAAAGCATGTTAAAGTGGTGCACTGGATGTTTTCCTTGTATGTAACTTAGGGGCCAAATTCCACAATCGGCCAAGCCAGCAGCAGAAAGAAAAAGTCCACGGAAAGGAGAACTGCAGCTTGAGCTCATTGACACGGGCACCATGTTGGCAGTCCATTGGGTTGCAACCTAAAATACTAAAAAGTGGGAAAAGTTCCACGATTAATGTGGTTAGGATCACAGCCTTCATGAGACAAGCCAGCATCAAAACAGTGCCATAAAAAAGTTGGGCTTGCAGAAAGTGAAAACCTCAAGCCTTAAACTGTATTCTTGCTAGCTCACAAACGAGAATAGATGTTTATATATGTACTGTACGTTATTTAAATCAATGTCAGGATGAGGGCAGCAATAACCACACAGGGTTTTTTCAGATGATAATTACTGTGCTGTGGTCTTCTTAGCACTTTGTCTTTCAGTTCAGCACTTAGCGCATGAGGAAGTTTCTGCTAGCCAAGTTCTGCTATCAATGGAGTGCTGTCAGAGAGCCCTAAATCCTTTTGTCCTTTTGAGGTCACTACCATTTTTCTGATGTGGCATCTGTGCCTTTAGCAGAAGCAGAAAACAAAACTTTTCTCAACATGCAATTGCATCAATATGGTACCAAGGCCCTGTCCCCCGCATCTCCAAAGCAGCAAACCTATTTTCTCTTGCTCAAGGGTCTGTCTGAGAACAGTATAGAAATGACTAGAGAGCTCTTCTCCTTAGTAGGCCATCTGAAAAAACTGCCTTCTTCCCTACAGAACCCCCCCTTAGGTGTTAAGATCAGCAGAGGTTGTTCCATCACTCTCTGAACCTTGGGGGGTTGACAGCCCAGGAGAGGAATTCTCTGTGGTAGCCCTTAAATTGTGGAACTCCCTCTGCACAGAGGTGTGTCTGGCATCTTCATCATACAGCTTTCAGAAGATGCTGAAGACATCTCTTTAACCTGGCTTTTGACACCTGAGATGTATATTTTTAGGACCCACCTTATGTCTGATTGGAAATTATTTAAAACTCTTTTAACAATGTGTTTTAAGCGCTGTAATCTGACTTGGGACCTTAGGGTGAAGTGTGGGTTATTAATAATAGCAAAAATAATATTTTGATGCTCACCGGAAGGACAGATCGTGAAGCTGAGGCTCCAATACTTTGGCCACCTCATGAGAAGAGAAGACTCCCTGGAAAAGACCCTGATGTTGGGAAAGATGGAGGGCAAAAGGAGAAGGGGACGACAGAGGACGAGATGGTCGGACAGTGTTCTCGAAGCTACCAGCATGAGTTTGACCAAACTGTGGGAGGCAGTGGAAGACAGGAGTGCCTGCTGTGCTCTGGTCCATGGGGTCACAAAGAGTCAGACACGACTAAATGACTAAACAACAACAACAACATTTTGATGTGACTAAGAATAGTTTGCACATGCAGATTCATTCACGGAATTCTCAATTCACCTGACCAGTCCCCATTCCAGGAATAACTTCGTTTTGTTTTGCTTTAAAGTTGATTCCAAATTTTGCATCTCTGATTGCAAGGCTCATTCAAATATGCAAGGCAGAACTATGTGTGGGGAACTTGCATGTGCGAACCCCTCCTTTTTAAAGCCCTGGATGTGAGCAGGGACAATTTCTCAGCTTCCACTGCCTTGGCTCGCAATGCAACCATTTTGGGAAAGCTGCAACTGGGCTGCAGAAGCAACGGGGGGAGAGAGTGGCAGGTTTTTGCAGGCTAGGCTACAGATGGATCTTGGAAAGCCTGTGATGGGCGGAACCCCTCCTTCCACCCCTCTGTTCCACACCTTTCCCCAGGACAGGAGCACGTGTGGGGCAGCAGATCCTGAAAGGGAATGCACCGAGATCACCGCATGCCACCACTGGGAGAAGAGAGAGCATAGCTGTCAACCATCCTTTATTTGGCGGGAAACTCCCTTATCCCAGTACCGTTTCCCACTGCTGTCCCGGATTGATGATGTCCCTTAAATTTCCTGGGTTTCATGCTCGCCTGGTTCAGGAGGGAAGCAGCGGCTCGTGGTCCTCTACCTTGAGAGAGAGAGAGAGAGAGCACGAGCTGCCGTGTCTCTGACTCTCCCTTTTCCCCCTCAGGGGCGTGTCGTGAGGAGATGGGTGGTGGCGGGTGGGCAGGCAGCCCTTCTCTTGCGAGACTTCCACCGCGCTGCCAGGGGAAGCCAGAGACGGCAGCGGCAGCTGAGGAGGCGACCTGAGGGAGGAGGAAGAGGAGGGGATGGGGAGGGGTGCAGAAGGGCGGCACTTTAGTGGCTGCCGTGGCGCCGCAACCACCTCATGCCGGGCTCGCGGGCGGTGTGGGCCAGTCTCCCTCCCTCTCTCTCGAGCGAGGAAGGGCCGATGGAACTCCTCGTGCCAGGACGACGGCAGCCCCGACGTGCTGCTTAGCATTCCCTCCAACCAGTGCAGCATCTTAATGTAGTGATTCCCCCCTCTGCATCCCTTTCATAACTCTATTTTTATAAAGCATTTGTCCATCCATAGTTCAAAATTTTATTACAAGTTTTCTGTCAATCCTACCAATATATATAACTCAATGTATGTATGTATTTGTAATAGCTTTTCAAATAAATTATAAACTTTCCCCATTCTTTATGAAAGAGGTCCTCTTCCTGGTTTCTAATTCTGCCTGTAAGCTTTGCCATCTCAACGTTGTTCACCAGTTTTGTCTGGCACTCTTCTTTGGTCTGAGTCGTAGACCCTTAGGATCATCTAGTCCAACTCCCTGCAAAACACAGTCAGTGGCAGCCAAAGCAGCATGGCTACATCAGTGCCGGATTGATGTACAGTGGTACCTCGGGTTAAGTACTTAATTCGTTCCGGAGGTCCATTCTTAACCTGAAACTGTTCTTAACCTGAAGCACCGCTTTAGCTAATGGGGCCTCCTGCTGCCACCGCGCCGCCGGAGCCCGATTTCTGTTCTCATCCTGAAGCAAAGTTCTTAACCTGAAGCACTATTTCTGGGTTAGCGGAGTCTGTAACTTGAAGCGTATGTAACCTGAAGCGTATGTGACCCGAGGTACCACTGTATAAGCTATGCAAAATCCCTTATTTTGGCTGCTGATCCCTTATTTTCGAGGCTGCTGGTCCCTTATTTCAAATCTGTAAGTTGACAGCTATGAGAGAGAGAGAGAGAGAGAGAGAGAGAGAGAGAGAGAGAGAGAGAGAGAGAGAGATGACAGCAGATGCTTTCGACGCTACACCAACCCGGCAGCGGAAAGGATTTCCGCTGCTCGGCTTCGGAATCCCACTTTTTAACGGAGAGCGCTGTGGAGGACCAGAAGGAAAGCGACGCCGCTCGCCGGCCGAGGATTTCCCAGGCCTCGGCGACCAATGAGCGTGGGGCGGGGGCGTGGCTTGCCGCGGCGGGGTGGGCAATGATTCGCCGGTGGTGGCAGGGAAAAAGCCTCGGCTGCCGGCGGACCCGGAGTCATTCCGCCTGGGTCGCGGGCGCGATCGGCGGCGCGGGGGGAAGGGGGCCACGTGAAGATGGGTCTCCCCAGGCCTGGATGAGCGGCTGCCGTCCCTGCGCCCCTCCCTCTGGGCGGGTGGAATAGATAAGCCAGGCAGGAGGAGGATCCCCGGGAAAATGCCCCCCGGGCGCGAGAAATGGAGCCGCTCGGGCGCCGCGAAGAGGGCGGCGTGCTTGCTGGCTGCGGTGTACGGGCTGAAGATCCTCTGCCCGCTGGTCCGCAGGCGGCTCCGGCAGGCGGGCTGCAAGAAGGACCCGCAGCAGAGGCAGATGGCCAGCGGCAGCCGGGCTGATCTTCCTCCGGAGCTGCAGCTGCTGCCTTGCCCGGGTCTCCCCGCCGCCGGCCGAGCGTCTCCGGCGGCCAATGCGGAATTTTTCCGCCAGCTGCTGGCGCTGCGCAAGATCCTCTTCCCGCGGGCGGTGAGCGCGGAGAGCGGCTGGCTGTGCCTGCACTCGGCGGCGCTGGTGTCGCGGACCTTCCTCTCCATCTACGTGGCCGGCCTGGACGGCAAGATCGTCAAGAGCATCGTGGAGAAGCGGCCGCGCAGCTTCGCCTGGAAGCTGATCAAGTGGCTGGCCATCGCCATCCCGGCCACCTTCGTCAACAGCGCCATCCGCTACCTGGAGGGCAAGCTGGCGCTGGCTTTCCGCACCCGCCTGGTGGATCACGCCTACCGGACCTACTTCGCCGACCAGACCTACTACAAGGTGATCAACATGGACAGCCGGCTGGCCAACCCGGACCAGTCGCTCACCGAGGACATGGCCATGTTCTCGCAGTCGGTGGCGCACCTCTACTCCAACCTGACCAAGCCCATCCTCGACGTGGTGCTCACCTCCTACACCCTCATCCAGACGGCCAGGTCCAGGGGGGCCAGCCCCATCGGGCCCACGCTCCTGGCCGGGCTGGTGGTCTACGCCACCGCCAAGGTGCTCAAAGCCTGCTCGCCCAGGTTTGGCAAGCTGGTGGCCGAGGAGGCCCAGCGCAAGGGCTACCTGCGCTACGTCCACTCTCGGATCATCGCCAACGTGGAGGAGATCGCCTTCTACAGGGGCCACAAGGTAAGAAGAAGAAGAGGAGGAGGAGGAGGAGGAGACACAGGAGCTGGGTGACATCGGAGACAGGAGAGACCTCTCAGCTGTAGTACTTGGCAATCCCTCCTACTGCTGCTGCCCTCATCCCTGGGAGAGTTGAATTCCTATGACACCCAGACCTGTTTACAATATTCTGCAGGCTTAGTAAAGGAGCTTTGTTTTTCTCCTTTACCTGGAAAAGGCCAGAGCAAGTACTGGCAGTAGTAGCTTAACAGTCATTAGCTCTCTCCCTTTAATACGTGCTAAGCACTCTTTTCTTCCTACAAAAGGGTGAATTTCCCTTCTGTTGCAGCCACAGTGGCTGCAGAACCTGAGGTTTGGGATTAATTAATACAGAATAAAAAGGCCACGGACTTATCTGCACACTCCCATGTGAATCCCATTTTCTACTCTTTCTCTCCCAGTTGTTTGGATGACTGATAGTGCAGGCCTATGCATGACTAACTCAGAAGTAAATCCATCATATTCAGTAGGGCTTACTCCCGTGTAAGAGTGCCAAAGGCTGCAATCCCTAAACCCTTACTGGCAAGTAAGCTCCACTGAATTTAGAGGGACTCACTCCTGAGAAAACACATGTGAGGGCTAAGCATAAAATGGGCTTTGTTTTCATTCGTTTCTTATAGACTGTTCTTCCTGTTCTTTCAAATGTACTGGTTGCAAGAAATCATTTCCCCTCCCCCTCCTGTCCCACCCGGATCAATGCAGCACTTTCACTTGGCAGCCTGGGGAAAACTTTGCTCTTTCAATGTGGACAGCAATACAACCTTTGCCATTGATCTGCGTAGCTGAGCAGAGATGCAGCGCTGCAAAGTCTTTAAATAGCTCAGGCCAAAGTGTTGTGGGTGCTTTAACAACTAGTTACATAAAATGAGTGAGTATTTTTTAAAAATCAAGGTGGCAAATATATTCAGTGCGCATTTTAAAAATTTGTTTTAATGTGGGGACACAGTTTTCCACCTTAAAAACAGGCTCTTCCTATGTCACTAACCTGGACCTGGGTCCAGCTTGCACCAGAACTTCTTATGGTGTCACATTGGTCTTTAGCACAGGTGGAAGGAGAAGAAGTTGTCTTCCTTGGAGCAATACAAGGAGAGACTCCCATCACCATCATGGCTGTGCTGATGAACAAGGAACTGGCCTAGACTTAGAGCTGGTGCAAGAACAATGCAGGCCTGATTCATACCAGCTGTACCTCCAAATTCTCCCAAAATGTTGCTTTCTCTTAATGGGTTAGGAGAGCTGGAAAAAATTAAAATCTGGCAACCAATGTGCCCTTTGGTTTCAGATGGTACATGGGTAAACGAGACTAGAAAACCCAGAACAAACTAAGCCTCCTAGAACAAAATAATACATCAAGAAGCTTAGTTTGCTCAGAATTGAGTAAACACTTCCAGACTTGATGCTGAATACATCACTTCTGGTAAATGAACCACCATAGACACTGGAAGGCTGTTAAAATTTGTGTCCCGGGCTTTTTAGACTCATCTACCCATGTACCATCTGTACCAAAGGGGTGCATTGTTTGCCAGATGTGAAATATATTGGCATTCTTTTCATTTCTCCTACCCTACTATCTGGGGACGCGGGTGGCGCTGTGGGTTAAACCACAGAGCCTAGGACTTGCCAGTCAGAAGGTCGGAGGTTTGAATCCCCGCAACGGGGTGAGCTCCTGTTGCTCGGTCCCTGCTCCTGCCAACCTAGCAGTTCGAAAGCACATCAAAGTGCAAGTAGATAAATAGGTACCGCTCCGACGGGAAGGTAAACGGTGTTTCCGTGCACTGCTCTGGTTCGCTAGAAGCGGCTTAGTCATGCTGGCCACATGACCCAGAAGCTGTCCGTCAGCTCCCTTGGCCAATAAAGCAAGATGAGTGCCGCAACCCTAGAGTCGGCCACAACTGGACCTAATGGTCAGGGGTCCCTTTACCTTTACCCTATTATCTAGAATAGAAGTTTTCTGGCTATAGCCTTCCTAACCTCTTAAGGCTATGCAGGAAATGATTGATATGCAGCCATGGGCAAGTTTAGCTGTCAGCGTTTGAGGAATTCGCAGTTGACTTGCAGCACGTGGGCGTGTGCTTGGTGGTGCCCACTCAACTGCTTGGCGTGGGGAAATGAGGCACTGCTGGTGATAAGTGCTTTGATGTGGCACTCGTATATGCAGCCATCACAGTTTGTACCAGTTTTAGCAGTCCTCTTGCAACTTACAGTGATTGTGTGTGTTGGCCTCATATGGAAGCAGTAGTTCATATGGTCAGAGCATCCACACAAGCCGATGAAGAACCCATGCAGCCTCACAAGTGATTGCATGTGGGCCAATGGGAGTCTGAATCAAGTCTCAAGCTCATTCAGAGGAAAACAGAAAGGAAAGTTGATCAAAGGAATATTTTTATCTGAGTGTATAACAGAACCTATAGAAGGGTTAATCCTCTGAAAAATAACGGACTGCTCATTTTCACGTTCAGCATCTGTCAGGTAAGGTAAAGGTAAAGGTACCCCTGCCCGTACGGGCCAGTCTTGCCAGACTCTAGGGTTGTGCGCTCATCTCACTCTATAGGCCGGGAGCCAGCGCTGTCCGCAGACACTTCCAGGTCACGTGGCCAGCGTGACAAGCTGCATCTGGCGAGCCAGCGCAGCACACGGAACGCCGTTTACCTTCCCGCTGGTAAGCGGTCCCTATTTATCTACTTGCACCCAGGGGTGCTTTCGAACTGCTAGGTTGGCAGGCGCTGGGACCGAACGACGGGAGCGCACCCCGCCGCGGGGATTCGAACCGCCGACCATGCGATCGGCAAGTCCTAGGCACTGAGGTTTTACCCACAGCGCCACCCGCATCCCTGTCAGGTACCTAAGCCTATATCAGTTATGCACTTAAATAGAGCATTCCCCACAAAAACAGAGTTGAGAATTCCCGAGGATGGTCCAGCAAAGGATGTTTTGCCATACTTCAAAGATCACAGCTCCAGCCAGAAGCACACAAACATTATTAAAAGCAATTTTTATAATCAAGTTTGACTGAATCAAAGCTCCTAGAATTCTCTGACCTAAGTAAAACTTGCAGGTCTGAGTCTAAAAGCAGCAACAAAGCCATTAAGTTATAATTTGCTTTTAAGTTATTTATCCTTGCCTTGGCTCCTGGTTTGTATTTTGATGGAGTTAAAAATAACAATGCAATGTTTTGTTTTAATTTGAAGATGGGTATTTGCTAAAATCACCATTCATTTGCAAACAGCAGTTCTGATTCATAAATATCTGTACTCGTTATAAAAGTATTATCATCATCATCCATGCTGTAAGTGATTGAGTTGATGTTAGCATTAACTGGCCAGATGTTCAGCTGGTATATGTTGGTAGAGATTCCTTAGCCAAGCAAAATGAAGAGGGTTGCAGGATGTTTAAAGGATTAGCTCTTATTCCAAAGCAGCAGTGTCCCATAGGAGCCAGAGGGTGTAATTTGTTCCATAACATTACATCTTGAAAGGATGCCATAGGATAGTGCAAAGATCTACACTGAACTTGATGGAGAAGCTGTAGAATGGGTAGAGTTGTAATGAGTCACCATTTTATGTGACTGAGGAGATGGAGCTTAGTGGTAGAACCTATATGGTGTCCCACGTTCAACCCTCTCACATTTCTATATAGATATGGAAGCAGGGCTGAGATGTACTTCTGTCTAATACCCTGGAAGTCTTCTGCCCATCAGAGTAGGCAGTATTTGGGCTATAGGTACAGCCATCATGGAACTGGGGTAGGTTGCTGTTGGGTGTACACACCTTGATTTGCTGCTACGTAATATGTGAAACAACCAGGATCAGGTGTCTTGAACCAACAGGTCTACCTATGTGACTATATTAATATAAAGGTTGCTTTTCTGGGTGGTTCCAGATGGGACACAAAGTGGAAGCATGAGTGAGTAACAATCTCTTGCCATACTTATTATCATTATCTTACACGAAGCCTGGGAATTGGTGGCTGTTGCCCATTAGGATTGGTAGAAGAGAAGGCAGTAAGTAAAACCACAGTCAATTAATTCTAGTTTTGTCTCCATCCTCCTCCCTGCTGAGTTCTGCAAGAGCAACTCTGAGGCTAAGGTGGATGAAGCTCACAAGCAGTGCCACCTCGCTGGACTGCTTGTTGTAAGAATTTGGGCAAGCGGGTGGGGATTGGGTGAGGGCAGGCTGAGGTTGGTAGAGGAGTGCTTTGTTTGCCTTAATGTTCCAGCCTCCACTGCATATTTCACTTCTAGGAAGATATGTCCAAGCTACCCTGTTTGGGTTGTTGAGTTGATCAAAACTACATATCCCAACTGAGACCCTGCCTAACAGTATTATTATTATTATTATTAATTTATTTATATCCCACCCATCTGGCTGGGTTTCCCCGGTAGCTCTCAACAGAATATCAAAAACACGATCAAACATTAAAAACTTCCCTAAACAGGGCTGCCTTCAGATGTCTTCTAAAAGTCAGATAGTTGTTTATTTCCTTGACATCTGACGGGAGGGCGTTCCACAGGGCAGGTGCCACTACTGAGAAGGCCCTTTGCCTGATTCCCTGTAACCTCACTTCTCGCAGGGAGGGAACTGCCAGAAGGCCCTCGGTGCTGGACCTCAGTGTCTGAGCAAAACGATGGAGATGGAGACGCTCCTTCAGGTATAGTGGGCTGAGGCTGTTTAGGGCTTTAAAAGGCCAACACTTGGAATTGTGCTCGGAAACGTACTGGGAGCCAATGTAGGTCTTTCAGGACTGGTGTTAATGGTGTACTAAAAGCCAGGTAAGAATATGAGTTTACTTACTGGTCACCTGGTATTGTTGGCTTCTGGACAGATATATATTCACTTGTTTAGGCTTATCTGTTTAAAGTGCATACATAATCACATGTTCCATGCTCTTATCAGTATCTGCATTTTTACACTGTAGGTAGAAATGAACCAACTACAGAAAAGTTACAAAGCTCTAGCAGACCAAATGAACCTCATTTTGTCCAAACGCTTATGGTACATCATGCTGGAGCAGTTTCTGATGAAGTACGTCTGGAGCAGCAGCGGCTTGATTATGGTGGCCGTACCTATCATCACTGCGACGGGATTTGCTGATGGCGGTAATAACATTTTATTGAACGTGAAATGTTTTGTGTGGCGGTTTCGTCCCAGTGGGATTATCTGGAGGAATCGGTCAGAAAGGTGTCTACATATTCTTAGCTGCAGCAACCCTGTGTCTGCCCAGCATTGTGTGGCTAGGTGGAACAACTCTAGGAAAAACTACCGTATTTTTCACTCTATAAGATGCACCAGACCACAAGACACACCTAGTTTTTGGAGGAGGAAAACAAGAAAAAAAAATTCTGAATCTCAGAAGCCAGAACAGCAAGAGGGATCGCTGCGCAGTGAAAGCAGCAATCCCTCTTGCTGTTCTGGCTTATGGGATAGCTGCGCAGTCTGCATTCGCTCCATAAGACACACACACATTTCCCCTTACTTTTTAGGAGGGAAAAGTGTGTCTTATAGAGCAAAAAATACGGTAAGTTATAAAAACAGCTGTCCTACCCAAAAACCTTTTGTTGCCTTGGGCAGAATAGTAAATGGTGCCCCCAGGCTCAAGTCAAGGTGCTTAGTGCCCAAGGTAGGTCAAATTACTTTGGTGCCTGAGGCAGAAAATCCCCCATCACGTTTTCTTGGCAGTAAACGTACAATAATACTAAAAGAAACAACTACAGATTTGTTGCCCTTTAAATAAAGGTGGGTCCAGCTATTGCTATTACACACATGCAATTTTTGTTCTTTTCTTAATTGTTTCTGATAACTATTTTAGCACATCATGCAATGCCTTTTCTGCACGTGCAAGCAGTCTCAGAAAGAAAGAAAGAAAATGAGATGAATTCTAGCCAGTTCATACCGTGTAATCAATACATTAAACTGACTTGTGCAAACACTATTTATTATATTCAGCATTTAGTTATCGCCTATCCCTCTTCAGCAGTGGATATATGCAAATGGGGTCTGAAACAAACCATTGAATGGGGCAGCCTGACATGTCAGGATACTCCAGGAAATTATTCTCCCTCTTTCCTCCCCACCCCATGCCTCAAAAGAGGCTTGACTTGGGATGCATAATTTCAGTTTCATTCCCTTTTGTCATTTTCCCAGACTTCTCCACATTTCCTTGTCAGTTTGCGTTTTAAAAAAAAGTTAAGGTTTTTTCCTCCCTCACAACGCAAACATAATTCCTAGTGACGAAAACAAAATGATTCCCCACAAAGTACATCTCTTTATTCAACTATGCATTATTGCAATATTCTCAAATGGGGGGTCTTGTTTTCTAAAATAACAAGAACATATTTAATAGCTGTTCTAGTCAAAACAAGCAAATGAAAGTCGAGCCTTGAGAGGACATAACACGGGGACTTTGCTGAAACTAATTAGTTTTTTGCCAGTGCCTGGGAACACCGCCTTGAATTCTGTGGAAAAAAATATAGTGAATATAAATGATAATAATAATATTATAATAATTTATTATTTCTACCCCACGTATCTGGCTGTGTCTCCCCAGCCACTCTGGGCGGCTTCCAACAAAAGATTAAAAATACATTAAAACTTCAGTCATTAAAAACTTCCCTAATGAAACAAGTTGTTAGAGTTCTAGTAATGATCAGTGATTAATGGTAGAGGTGAAGAAATTATTCAGGATTTACAGTACAAATCCTATGTGACTCTAATCCGCCCCTGAGCTCAGTGGAGCTTACTCTCCCAGTTTCAGGCCTGGCTATGGGATAGACACAGCCATGGTTGTCTTGTTGGACAACTTACAATGAAGGCTGGATGAGGAAGTTCAGTTGGATTGGTTCTCCTGAACCTCTAAGTAACTTTCCATATCATCAAACATGGTATCTTTCTGGAGCATTTTGCTGGGTTGGCCATTGACCTACGGTGTGCCACAAGATTCCATTGTGTGCCCTGTGCATTTTAACATCTGCATGAAAAAATTGAGGGAAGTACAGTCGTATCTTCGTTCTCAAACGCCGAAAACCGGGAAGTAAGTGTTCTGGTTTTTGAATGTTTTTCGGAAGCCAAACATCCAACACGGCCTTCGCTTGAGTGCAGGAAGCTCCTGCAGCCAATCAGAAGTTGCGTCTTGGTTTTGGAACAGTTTCGGGAGTTGAATGGACTCCCGGAATGAAGTGTGTTCAAGAACCAAGGTTCCACTGTAACCACAGAGGTTTTGGCTGAAGTGTCATCACTCTGTGAGTGAAAATTTTGTTTCCATCTGCTTCTCCAAGGGAGGTGATGCTCTGTATATGGCTGCTTTTTAAAGATAATTTGGAACCTTCCAGCAGTGAGCAATATGGCGGCCCATGTGACTTAGACGTGTTTTATTGCTTTTAAATGTCACTAGTGTTATTTGTTCTTCATTTTTAGCATTATGTTTTTGAATAATCAATGTGCAGTATAAATAACTGTAAACTTCTGTGTCACCTTGGGAAGGGCAGCTTATAAATATTATAAATAGATATATACAGTGTGTACAAGAATGAACTCTTTGCTTCCTAAATTCTTCTTTGACTTCCTAAGGCTTCCTAAATTCTACTTTGATGACAGGTTGGTTTGTTTTTTTAACACACACAATAGAATTGGCCTTCAGTCAATTGCACTATGGATTATGTTTTATTTTAATGATAATTGATTGTATTCCCTTCTGGGATCATTTTGTATGATGAAAACAGGGACAGAATGAACAAACGAATGAGTGAAATATTTTTAAGACGTACAAACAGGAATCATGGGGCATTGGGTGACAAACCACTGGGTAATGGCAAAGCCGAAGACAATTGTTGTCATTTGTTTGCTCATGTTATACTATTTGTATTTATTTTTATATTAAAAATTCTGTCCCACCCTTCTGGTCCGTATGGCGGTACTCAGAGTGTCTTGCAACAATTTAAAACCTTACTGTCCTTTAAAAACAACACATGTGTTTTTGAAATCCACATAATCGTGAATCCCTTCCTGAAGTTTCAGTTTTATATTGTAAAATGCCCTGTGATCCTTGGATGAAGAGCTGCATAGAAACTTAATAAATAATAAATAATAATAATAATTCAGTTAAAGTTCAGTGAAAATACAACAGAAGCAGAGACATGAACCACACCTTTAAAGTAAAATATTAGGTGCTTAGCAAAGAAAAAGCTTGCCAAACTTTATAAAAGTCTTCACCTTCTTTTCTTCTCCTTCTTTGGCGATCACTCGTAGCCGAGTAAGATTGTCTTCCATAAACACGGTTTTAACAATGAGTCCGTAAGTGATGGTGGAGGCCAGTTGTATCCTCACCAACCAGCACATGACAACTAGAGAGTGGCTTTTTTACTTCTGCATGGTGCATGGTTTTGGTGCACCTCAAAAGCCCTATCTCTTGCCACAATCAGTTGTGCTCCACGCTAAGAGGAGTGAAGGGAGCAGGTAAATAGATATAGCAGAATGTATTCCTTTGGGTATTTTGGATCCGAGGCCTTTGGGTCAAAGCTTTATGACCCGATAGTTACATGGTCCTCCAAGGAAGGAGAAGAAGTTTGGATTTGATATCCCGCTTTATCACTACCCTAAGGAGTCTCAAAGCGGCTAACATTCTCCTTTCCCTTCCTCCTCCACAACAAACACTCTGTGAGGTGAGTGGGGCTGAGAGACTTCAGAGAAGTGTGACTAGCCCAAGGTCATCCAGCAGCTGCAGGTGGAGGAGCGGGGAAGCGAACCCGGTTCACCAGATTACGAGTCCACTGCTCTTAACTACCACACCACAATGGCTACGTGTCAATGCCCCCCAAAATGTGTGTAGTAAAAAAAGTGCCCTCGCACACACGTATGTATACCAGAGCACGCACACACACACCATGATGGGCTGTGGAATTTGGATCCTTGGCCCTCGATGGAAATCGTAGCACAATTTTGACCGCACACAATTTCCCCCACATCCTTTCCCCCTGGCAACTGCAGCAGAAATCTGTGCCAGGTACTTCACCATGTGACCCAAATGAGATCGGTAGGACTGCATTTGTTTTTGTATCTGCTGCCACCAAACTACCAGGGGTTTTCAGGGGCCGTATCAGACTACGCATTTACCACCTAATTGCAGGGTTTTAAATGTAGCTACCAGTGCTTTGAATTATGCTGAGATGCAAATATGAAATTGAGTTGCCGCAGTCTCTCCAAAACTGTTCTTCCAGAACCGGAATTACTCAAATGCTCTTGTATTTTTGATGACTGCATAGTGGGGAGACTTTAGGCAGATGCTGCAGTTTCCCTTCCTTGAGTGTGCTGGCAAGAGAAGGAGTATTTGTCAAGGTCTCCTTGACACGCTGCTGCTGCCACAGGCCCATTCTTTGAGTCAGGATTTGGCAACTGCGTTTGACTGATTCTGATTTAACTACACAAATTTTGCCCGCATCTCCTTTCCTTCTAGAGAAGTTTCTCTTTAGTGGAGTTAGAATATGCTTCAAGTAGGTTTGCTCTAATTAAGCTTTCTTTCTTGCCTTTAGAATTAGAAGATGGTCAGAAACAAGCGATGGTCAGCGAGAGGACGGAAACCTTCACCACTTCAAGAAATTTATTGGCCTCGGGAGCAGATGCCATTGAAAGGATTATGTCTTCTTACAAAGAGGTACTGGATGAAATACGCTTGAAAGCAGAAATAATAACAATGGGGGGTTTTTTTGGGGGGGGGAGAATTGTAAACGTAGTCTAAAATGCAATTGTGTATACCCATTTGAGGGAGGGTGGGAACAGGAAGACAAGATTCACAGGAAGCTTCAAAAGATCCTTAATATAGTCACTATTAAATCCCAAGGTTGCGTGTTTTAAGAGCATTTGTTGTGTCTGCTTTTGAATATAGTCGTATCTTGGATCCTGAACGCCCTGGAACTCGGACGTTTTGGCTCCTGAACGCCGCAAACCCGGAAGTGATTGTTCCAGTTTGCGAATGTTCTTTTGGAACCCGAACATCCGACGGGGCTTCCGTGGCTTCTGATTGGCTGCAGCAGCTTCCTGCAGCCAATCAGAAGCTGCGATTTGGTTTCTGAACGTTTTGAAAGTCGAACGGACTTCCAGAACGGATTCCGTTCGACTTCCAAGGTACGACTGTATTTCTTATAATGACCACAGATGCAAGTCTTCCTAAGGAATAAATAGACTTGAATCCCAAGTTGCTCCTCTATTCGCATAAAGTGATTTTCACCAACTTCCCCCTCCATCAGCAGCTTCCTGCAGGATATTTCACACCATTCTCAAGAATTCCCCAATCCACCCAGCCACCACCAGCAGGGGGCTGGGAGATAGGGAACTCCTGTTAAGTGAATGTAAATAGCTTGGGGTTTGGGGGATGTATGCTGCCTGGAGTTTTTGAAATATTGCTTTGTACATGCAATTAGAAAGGAAGGCTGGGATCCAAATTATAGAGACCGTCATTGGGGGAAGGGTGAGTTGCCACCACAGCCACTGTACACGGTGGTGTAGCATCAGTTGCTGGTGCCCAGGGTGGGTGGGTGGGTGCGGGCGCTGGGCGCTGGGCGGGGAGGGCGTCAGCCCATCCGATGCCACTGGAACAACCGCATCCCCACCGGAGCAAAGTGGGGCTATACTGAGACACCTGCCCACCTGCCTAGGGGAAGACCAGCCGGCCGACACGGCCCTTGACACCCTGCTCCTGCCAACCTAGCAGTTCGAAAGCATGTCAAAGTGCAAGTAGATAAATAGGGACCACTCCAGTGGGAAGGTAAACGGCGTTTCTGTGCACTGCTCTGGCTCGCCAGAAGTGGCTTAGTCATGCTGGCCACATGACCTGGAAGCTGTACGCCGGCTCCCTTGGCCAGTAAAGCGAGATGAGCGCCGCAACCCCAGAGTCGGCCACGACTGGACCTAATGGTCAGGGGCCCCTTTACCTTTACCTTTACTCCATACAGGCAACGTTTTAATGTAAGTTAAGGTTTGCAGTCTACAAGTCCAAACTTAAGCGCCAGAGACGGTTAAAAACTGTGTGCTTATTTACCAAGTTGGTTTATATTTCTGCAAGTTCTTGCTGTGAAATAGATGTCCACATTATTATTATTTATTATTTATTCATGATGAAACCAATACTATGCAATGTAATACTAGAGCGACACAAATCTGTTGAATTGTGTAGAAAGTTCCAACACCAAGTTCCTCATTTTTTGCCAGGACTGTTTTTGAACCCGGGTTGCTTGGGCTAAAAGACAACCCAAACCTGCATCTCGAACTGTCATCATTTCTGACAGGTTTGAGATGGCTAGCTGTCAAGATTTTTAAACTGCATTTATTCATTGTTTAAATGGCCACTCTGGGCTCCTTCTGGAAGGAGAGGCAAAATGAAAATAAATAATAATAATCTTAATATTCAGTACAAACTTTTCAAACAAATGCCAACACCTACTCAGTCTGGTTGAGCCTTCAAATAAAGAGTTATATGTGACTTCTTTCCACCAGGATGTCTCCGGGTGTTCATCCAAGTGTACATTGGAATGCACATTTCGTTGAGAACTGTGCAGGGTAGGGTTATATAGTTCAGAAGACAGGTGAGCAAGCAGGGACATTATAGACACCTGATAATGCTATGATATCAGGTGACTCATTTTTCCTTTCCAGTGTGGTGGGCTGTGCTAGAATGGAAAATCTTAGTACAGATTAGCAGGCCTTGAAGCTACTGCTCAGACACAGAATCCTCAAATTGTGAGGTGAATTAGATCACCAAGAGTTTTGTTTGGTTGGTTGGTTGGTTGTTTCCCTCTTGGCGTTCGCCTCAGCCGCCGGAAGCATCCCAGCCGCCATTTTGTCTCGGGCGATGGTGGTGGTGGGGAAAGATAACCAAGAGACGTGTGGTGACTGCGGTGTAAGTCTTTTATAATATTTTAACAAGGATTTATATATTGTAATGTCTGAAGTATGAATTTGGAATTATTGATTATGAAAAGTATTCTTTTCCTTCATTTTTTTGGGTTTCTTTTATTTTTTGTCTGTCTTCTTTTCTAGTCTGCATTCTGGAAAATTGTATAGATAAATGTTTTTCTGTACGGTTATGCATTGTTTCTATTTTTTTTATTTTTTTTTATGTAACATTTAATAAAATTTAATTTTTTTTAAAAAAAGAATCCTCAAATTGTAGACCTGGATAGGACCCTGAGGATAATCTAAACCAAGCCCCTGCAAGGCAGGAATACGCAGCAGTCCCATACAGGGATTGAACCTGCAGCCTTGATGTTATCAGCACCATGCTCTAACCAACTGAGCTTATCCAGGCTTTAAACCATGGTTAGGCAAACTAAGGCCTGGGCGCTGGATCTGACCCAATCGCCTTCTAAATCCGGCCTGCGGACGGTCCAGGAATCAGCATGTTTTTAAATGAATAGAATGTGTACTTTTATTTAAAATGCATCTCTGGGTTATTTGTGGGGCATAGGAATTCATTCTTTTTTTCTTTTCCAAAATATAGTCTGGCCCCGCACAAGGTCTGAGGGACAGTGGACTGGCCCCCTGCTAAAGTAGTTTGCTGACCCCTGCTTTAAAGCTTGATCGGCACCAACTTCAGGCTTCACTTTTCTCTGGGATCAGCTGTGATTGGCTGGGAATCTCGGTAGGGCTGCCAATCTCAGTAGATATCTTACTATCTTAGCAGAGTGTCTGTGGCAGGACCTTTCTGTAATGTTTTAATGTCACTTCCAGTGACGAAGGCAGAGACATCTTCTCCCTACATGAACCCCTGATCCCCAGCTGTGTTTTAATTGGCACCTAGCAACCTAGCATTCCTGCCAACCTAGCAGTTCGAAAGCACGTCAAAGTGCAAGTAAATAAATAGGTACCGCTCTGGCGGGAAGGTAAATGGTGTTTCCATGCGCTGCTCTGGTTCGCCAGAAGCGGCTTAGTCATGCTGGCCACATGACCCGGAAGCTGTACGCCGGCTCCCTCGGCCAATAAAGTGAGATGAGCGCCACAACCGCAGAGTCGTTCACGACTGGACCTAATGGTCAGGGGTCCCTTTACCTTTACCTTTAGGAAGGCATAGTGGAAGCTAGTGGAGAAGTCCCAGCCCTTGCTGCTTTAATAGAAAGCACCATGGGGAGAACAGGACAGGAAACCTACTGCTGCCCTCACAAAAGGTGGCATTTTAAATGTGTGTGTCACTTTTTAAGACGCTGTTGCTTCTGGCCACTTATTATTATATAATCATCATCATCATCATCATCATTCTTATCCTGCCAATCTGGCTGGGTTGTCCCACCCACACTGGGCAGCTTCCAACACATATAAGAACATACTGTACTGGCCTGAATATACCGTATTTTTTGCTCTATAAGACTCACTTTTTCCCTCCTAAAAAGTAAGGGGAAATGTGTGTGCGTCTTCTGGAGCGAATGCAGGCTGCGCAGCTATCCCAGAAGCCAGAACAGCAAGAGGTATCGCTGCATTCGCTGCACAGTGATCCCTCTTGTTTTTCTGGCTTCTGAGATTCAGAATATTTTTTTTCTTGTTTTCCTCCTCCAAAAACTAGGTGCGTCTTATGGTCTGGTGCATCTTATAGAGCGAAAAATACGGTAAGCCTCACTTTCCCCCCAAATTCCGACCATGAAAAGTTAAAGTGCGGCTTAAATTCGCGGCCTTACAAAAATTGGCTTTTACGATATCACTGCTGAAACAGGCATACGGTAAAATGGAACGGGTGTGAGTGCCTGCGGAATGTTGTCTCTGTTCCTCCCCCCTTGAATTTTAAAGCTGCGGCTTATATTCGGGTGCGGGTTATATTTGGGCCAATACGGTAACAAAACATCGAACATTAAAAACTTCCCGACAAAGGGCTGCCTTCAGATGTCTTCTAAAAGTTGCTCTTTACCTCCTTGACATCTGATGGGAGGACGTCACTGCTGAGAAGGCCCTACCCTCTGCCTGGTTCCCTGTAACTTCAGTTCTTTCAGTGAGGGAGCTGCCAGAAGGCCCTCAGAGCTGGACCTCAGTGTCCAGGCTCAATGACAGTGGTGGAGATGCTCCTTCAGGAGCAAAGGCTGTTTAGGGCCTTAAAGGTCAGCTCCAACATTTTGAATTGTGCTTGGAAACATACTGGGAACCAGTGTAGAGCCTTTAGGCCCGGTGCTATATATGGCCCCGGTGGCTGCTCCCAATCACCAGTCTAGCTGCTGCATTCTGGATTAATTGTAGTTTCCGTGTCCCACGTAGCCCCACGTAGAGCGCATTGCAGTAGTCCAAGCAGGAGATAACCAGAGCATGTACCACTCTGGCGAGACAGTTAAACATCCTGGCTCCCACCCAAACTGGCAAACCAGTTTGGACACACACACAGGTTACCAGCCCCGTTTCAGGGCACAGAGAGCTCAGTAGCAGGGATGAAGCCCAAAACTTCTGCCAGCCCTCAGTTAATTTATGGAATTTGCTCTGAGAAGACCTGCTGATGCCCACAAGCTTATATGGCTTTGGAAAGTGGGAGGGGAGACAGTGATAGCTAGCTGTGACCTCCAGGTTCAGATACGCTATACAGTGGTACCTCGGGTTAAGAACTTAATTCATTCCAAAGGTCCGTTCTTAACCTGAGGTACCACTTTAGCTAATGGGGCCTCCCACTGCTGCTGCACGGCCGCGCGATTTCTGTTCTCATCCTGAAGCAAAGTTCTTAACCCAAGGTACTATTTCTGGGTTAGCAGAGTCTGTAACCTGAAGCGTCTGTAACCTGAAGTGTCTGTAACCCAAGGTACCACTGTACCTTTGAATGCCAGTTGGTGGGAGAAGATTCACAATGTAGATGCCTTTAGCACTACTTGTCAATCTTTTTAAAATAGTGGGGTTTAGACATGGGCAGGAACAGATCAGGAAGGCAATTTATCTCTACTTAACACCCATTCATTATAACCCTTGTGGTGGGTACCATTTTATGACCCCAATTTTGTTTTGTTAAAGTCAATCTTTCAGTTATCGCTCAAATGCTTTTCTAGTTAAAAAGAGGTGTGTAAGATCATAACGCTATGGAATTCGTGTTGTGCAGCAGTATAGGATTAAAGCAGCATGTTGTTGTAGCGCTGGACATCTCTCTTCGTTTTCTTTTAAAGCCAGAAAAATCCTACAGCTGTATTTAAAAATCAATTGCAATATAAAAGCAGGGATGTAAAATGGTTACAGTGGATGCATGCTGTGTTGAATCTGGCTGCACCTACAGCAGCAATGGCATGTCTAGAACACTGCCGGACGTAGACATAAAAAAATCACAGTATGCTTGAAAGTGTGTGCAATAGTAGTCTGAGTGTTGTTGCGTTTGACCCGCTATGTGAGCATGCATGAGTGTGTGTGCATGCACACATGCATGTAGATCAGGAGTCAGCAAACTTTTTCAGCAGGGGTCTGGTCCACTGTCCCTCAGACCTTGTGGGGGGCCGGACCATATTTTGAAAAAAACATATGAATGAATTCCTATGCCCTACAAATAACCCAGAGATGCATTTTAAATAAAAGCGCACATCCTGCTCGTGTAAAAACACCAGGCAGGCAGGCCCCACAAATAACCCAGAGATGCACTTTAAACAAAAGGACACATTCTACTCATATAAAAACACGCTGATTCCCAGACCGTCCGCGGGCCAGATTGAGAAGGCGATTGGGCCGGATCCGGCCCCCGGGCCTTAGTTTGCCTACCCATGATGTAGATGAATTGGGGAGTCCACAACAGACCATTAATCCAGTTTTTGTTCACATGCAAAATTCCTCCTTCAAATAACATCTCAAGCAAATGTTTCCGGGAGGGAAGGGGGGAATAAATTGGTAAACAGGCGTCAAACCCTACTTTAAATCAAGCAGTGGGGTGTTCTGACACTTGCCTAGAATTTAATGTTTACGAGTGCATCTGAAAGTGTGTCTTTGACAGGCAAGCAGGAGCGCATTAGGCCTAGAGTTGCTTTCTATATCAGTCACCAGATGCTGGTTGAAGCCAAGTGAACGGCGTTGCCTTTCTCTAAGAAGTTGGCAGCAGAAATGAAAAAGAGAAGTACTTATTCTTTCCTTGAGGTTGTTGTTTATTGGTCCACAAATCACTTACAGACAGCTTAAAGCTGCTGAAGTTTTTCCTGCCCCTGCCATCCAGTGATTTTCAGGTGGTGGTGTCATCATCATACACTACGCTAAGAAGCTGAATTTCTATAGGAAGCTCCTATCTTTAGGAAGAAATATCTGAATGTCCATCAAAATTGGATTCATTGCTTTCATGGAATCAGCTTGTTCCCCTGGAATAACAGAACACAATGCACATTACACGGCGGTATGCTTGGTAGAGTAAAAGCACGTGCTACAATAATTCATCGGCACAGTTCTGTTTTTAATCTTAGCAATCGTTTATCGTTTTGCAGGTCACAGAGTTAGCAGGCTACACAGCTCGTGTGTACAACATGTTTTCAGTCTTCGATGAAGTGAAGAGGGGCATTTACAAAAGGACAGCTGTTTCTCAAGAATGTGAAAGCAACAATAAGAAAAGAGATAAAACAGAGCAACATATCGATGGCCCATTGGAAATCAAGGGTAATGAATGATGCATTTTTAAATTTTTTTAAAGATTCCTCTTTAACAGCTTGCAGTTTGAAATTGAAACCCTGGGACAGCTATTTAAACAAAACTATCCACTTAATTCATTTCCTTTGCCTAGAATAATAGATCCTGGTACCTTCTGGTCCCAGCTATGCATATTCCACATCCAACTCTTGACTTTTATAAACTGTTTTCTGTGAGATGCTAAAGGCCGATCTGTGCATTTAATAATAATAATAATAATAATAAAAGCAACATGGTACCTGGTTCCTGTGGCTGCACCATTTCAGATGGAAGGTGACTTACCTGAATACTCCACCACTTCAAAATCCCCCTGCACATGGAAACATAGTATGTCAGGAAGATAATTCTAGTTTAGTATTCTCCATGATAGAATGAAAAATGTGGCAGTGCATTTCAAACTTTCACTTTTCCACCTTGGTACAATCCCAGGAATTGTATGAGTACATTTGCGTGAAGGTCTTCTGCTAATGGAATTCCAGTATTTTCATTCAGCTCTCCCTTTCTCTGCTTTCCTCTTCATGCCTCTTACTTCTCATGGGACACCATGCTGCTTGCCTTCCAGTAGCCCTCTCTAAAGAAATTGTTGTAACTCTTCATCTAATACTTATTTTATTTTCTGGCTTATCCAGAAAACTTCCCTCCCCATTATCTCCCTTCTCTTTAACTAACCTTAGTAAATACTCTTTTCTTGTTCATTGCTTCCAATGCATACTCTTCCCCCCAAAGCTGATTTTTGACCGCCCCTCATTCTGTCTATTAACATGTATATTATTTTGGGGGTCATCTTGCTTGCAGGATTGTTAAATGGTGGCTTTTAAGGTGCTGCTTTAAATATGTATTGAATTCCACAGCATCCTAGCATGTTGTGAAATAGGGTAGGATTGGAGGACTTACTCAAACTAAGAGAACTTGTTGTTGTTTAGTCGTTTAGTCGTGTCCAACTCTTCATGACCCCATGGACCAGAGCACGCCAGGCACTCCTGTCTTCCACTGCCTCCCACAGTTTGGTCAAACTCATGTTGGTAGCTTCGAGAACACTGTCCAACCATCTCGTCCTCTGTCGTCCCCTTCTCCTTGTGCCCTCCATCTTTCCCAACATCAGGGTCTTTTCCAGGGAGTCTTCTCTTCTGATGAGGTAGCCAAAGTATTAGAGCCTAAGCTTCAGGATTTGTCCTTCCAGTGAGCACTCAGGGCTGATTTCCTTAAGGATGGATAGGTTTGATCTTCTTGCAGTCCATGGGACTCTCAAGAGTCTCCTCCAGCACCATAATTCAAAAGCATCAATTCTTCAGCAATCAGCCTTCTTTATGGTCCAGCTCTCACATCACTACTGGTAAAACATAGCTTTTACTATACGGACCTTTGTCGGCAAGGTGATGTCTCTGCTTTTTAAGATACTGTCTAGGTTTGTCATTGCTTTTCTCCCAAGAAGCAGGCTTCTTTTAATTTCGTGACTGCTGTTACCATCTGCAGTGATCATGGAGCCCACGAAAGTAAAATCTCTCACGGCCTCCATTTCTTCCCCTTCTATTTGCCTGGAGGTGATGGGACTAGTGGCCATGATCTTAGTTTTTTTTATGTTGAGCTTCAGACCATATTTTGCGCTCTCCTCTTTCACCCTCATTAGAAGATTCTTTAAGAGAACTTACTGAAAAGTAATTTCTGGTTCTGCAGTGAGGTTTCAAATCGTGTGCACTTTTCTAAATTGTAACCACATTTTCTGGTTAAGTTTTGTGTTCTGAGGATAGTTCTCCCAGCTCTCTTTCAAAGTCCATGAATTGAAAATTAGAACCTTTCTATGCAGGAGGGAGACTGTAAAGGAGACAATCTCCACTTTACATATTTCTAACTACATCTCGGGTAGGTATTGTACCCTATACCGTTATGTCTCCTTCACTTCTCATGATCAAAAGTGTATAATAAATCAGTTATATAGCCCACTACTGTATTTATTGTAATCTACAATTATAGATTACAATATTATAGGGACGCGGGTGGCGCTGTGGGTTAAACCACAGAGCCTAGGACTTGCCGATGAGAAGGTCGGCAGTTCGAATCCCCGCGACGGGGTGAGCTCCCATTGCTCAGTCCCTGCTCCTGCCAACGTAGCAGTTCGAAAGCATGTCAAAGTGCAAGTAGATAAATAGGTACCGCTCCGGTGGGAAGGCAAACGGCGTTTCTGTGCGCTGCTCTTGTTTCACCAGAAGCGGCTTAGTCATGCTGGCCACATCACCCGGAAGCTGTACACCGGCTCCTTCGGCCAATAAAGCGAGATGAGCACCGCAACCCCAGTCGGTCACGACTGGACCTAATGGTCAGGAGTCCCTTTACTTTTACAATTATAGTGGCATACAACAATGGGGGTTAGGGAAGGTCATTCTATAAATACATTGTCAAAAGTGTGGCTATAGTATGCTGCTACAGCTTTAGTCGTTCCCTGGTTACAAATCTGGATTATTTAAAAGCATATCTGAACTCTTGTTAATCTTCAGAGAAATGCTGCCAGACTTTATAATGAATCTATTGTTTATTTTACATTAGGAACAATAGTTGAATAGTTTTCAACTATTTGGAACAGTTTTAAGTCTTTGAGAAAAGGTATTTCATTCATTCAGTGATACATTCTTGCGATGAAGAAGGGTTTCAGTATTTAGCTTAGACATGTGGATTCATATAAGTTAAAAAAAAAGTCAAATGGCTTCGCCTTTCTTATTACTTTCTGAACAGTTTCTGCTCATCTGTAGCGAAGCGTGCTTTGGATATCGAAATACGATGCTAAACCAGTGAATTCAGAAGCTAGAGGCTGGTTTCAGTGTAATGTTTAAGATCAGATTCACGGAAGCAGCTGTGAGACTCCTGTTTAGCATTAGGTAAGGCAGTGCCCTTCACATCCAGCCAAAAGGAGACAGGCTAACCTTTCTGCGGCCCAACACACAACACCGTATTCCAGCTAATGGCTGGAAAGAGCGTTCATGCTCCATCTGCTGGGACTTAAAAGAAATAACCATGCAGTGTGCTTTAATGCTGTTTAATCACCCCTAATACCATTCATTCTCTCTAATGCTAAGTGAAGGTGAAGCCAAGGAGTGCTTTGCAGACTTAGAAGATCCTGAAAGGAGAAGGGTGGGTTCAGAAGTTGTGCTGTAGCCTAGGGCTTGCCAATCAGAAGGTCAGCGGTTCGAATCCCCGCGACGGGGTGAGCTCCCGTTGTTCGGTCTCTGCTCCTGCCAACCTAGCAGTTCGAAAGCACATCAAAGTGCAAGTAGATAAATAGGTACCACTCTGGCGGGAAGGTAAACGGCATTTCCGTGCGCTGCTCTGGTTCACCAGAAGCGGCTTAATCATGCTGGCCACATGACCCGGAAGCTGTACACCGGCTCCCCTGGCCAGTAAATCGAGATGAGTGCCGCAACCCCAGAGTCATTTGCGACTGGACCCTAACGGTCAGGGGTCCGTTGCATGAATAAGCCCTCCCAAGACTGACAGCTTTTTGTCTGTCTTCCTGTACATGTGTGTGCTTCACTAACATGTTGTAATTTTTGTTTGTTTGTTTTACTTGTAGGAAGAGTAATAGATGTTGATCATGGAATTATCTGTGAAAACGTTCCTATCATTACCCCAAATGGAGATGTGGTGGCGTCAAGGCTAAACTTCAAAGTAAGACGATGTGCAAGAATCTTCCGACCGTGGCCACCACAGTTAGCATAAATGCAGCATGGAGTTCCTGTACCTTCTGTTAATTAATTGGACAACAATATATAAAAGAGGGGGAATCAAGCAAAGCAGACGTAGTGACTCAAAGCTAGAAGCTTATAGTTTCTCTGACTTTAGTAAACAGGGAGACATGATTCCCTTTCCCATGCTGAGGCCCGCACATTAAATCAATGTGCAGAGGAAAACAGGCATCTATTGGTTTTTGCCCCTGTCCATTGCAGAGATCATGAGAAAAGACTATATATGCATGTAAACTATTACACATCTAGGATCAGTACTTGTAGTAAGGAGCCCTTGCCAGGCCCCGTGTAAGTACAGTCCTTTTTCTTGTTCCACCCAATGAGTGGATCATAGAAGTATATAGCCGGAAGGGACAGCAAGGGTCATCTAGTCCAACCCCCTGGAAAGCAGAAATCTGTTGCCCAATGTGGGGCTCAAACCCCCCACCCTGAGATTAAGAGTGCCGTGCTATACTGACTAGATAGATAGATAAACTTTATTTGCATTAGCCAACGGCCGTAGCAACATAAAACAAGCAATCGATACAATTAAAAAACAACAACAATGGATAAAAAGGACCATCAAATGACCAAGACCATCGTTCAAATAGTGGCCCTTAATCTCATTGCACCCTCGATAAACCTAGCAACCTTTGCTGTTGTCTGATCATTCTGATCTGATAACAGGAAGAACAGTGTGGCCTCAGATGGGCGGCCTGGGATGTTAAGTAGGAGTGGGGTGAAGATCTCATTCCTCAGGTCTTTATAAAGGGGGCAAGACAAGAGAACATGAGCCACTGTTTCCAGTTTGCCATCTCCACAGGGGCAGAGTCGCTTCTCAGTTGTAATCCTTCGGTATCTGCCCTCAAGTATGGCAGAGGGCATCACATCCAATCTGGCCAATGTGAAGGCACGTCTGTATTTTGGGATGGTTAATTTATACAAATATGGTGCCAGGGAGTCAAACTGGGGGGGGGGGGAGGCATACCAAGGGCAGCGCTTCTTCATAATGGCCAGATTGTTCTGTTGCTCCAAGTCCTTCAGACGCTGTTCAATTAGTGATTTCAGCTATACTGACTAAACTATTGGGAATGGGGTCACTGGCACACAGACCCTTAGCTTAAGGACAAGGCCAGTTGCTGCAGTTCTGCCACCCTCAATGCATTGATTTAAATGTGTGGACTGGGATGTGCAAAGAGGGCTAGACAGTGAGGATGGCCTTTTCCCATTATCATGCCATTTCCAGGTTAATAACAACAGCTGGAACACTCAGAGCACCTAAGAGCTACTCTTGGCTTCCATTGCTACCATTAGATGTCCTATCTTTGCCTCCTAAGTAGACAAGCAGTTCTGCTTCTTGCCTTAAAAACATTATCAAGTCAAGAAAAGAGTACAGTGGTGCCTCGCAAGACGAAAAGAATCCGTTCCGTGAGTCTCTTCGTCTTGCGGGTTTTTTCGTCTTGCGAAGCAAGCCCATTAGCGGTTTAGCGGATTAGCGCTACAGTATTAGCGGCTTAGCGGATCAGCTGATAAGCGGCTTAGCGGCTTAGCTGTTAAGCGGCTTAGCGGATCAGCTGATAAGCGGCTTAGCGGATCAGCTGTTAAGCGGCTTAGCGGATCAGCTGTTAATCGGCTTAGCGGCTTAGGATCAGCTGATAAGCGGCTTAGCTGCTTGGGGGAAAGGGGGGGGAAGGGAAAAAACCCCGCAGGAACTCGCAAGACATTTTCATCTTGCGAAGCAAGCACATAGGAAATTCGTTTTGCGAAGCACCTCCAAAACGGAAAACCCTTTCGTCTAGCGGGTTTTCCGTCTTGCGAGGCATTCGTCTTGCGGGGCACCACTGTATTAAAGTTGGGTGAGTGCTCTACTGCTGAGACAGCCTTGAGACTTCAGAATCCGTGATCCTGAGGGCCAGGAAGATGGGAAAGCGTGCTTGATAGCTGGCTGGAAGTATTAACAGAACCTACTGGGTTTGGTTTTTGTTTTTAGTTACTGAAAATAATTTTAACTAGCTGGTGTATACTTCTTTAATCTATCCCACCCTTCTGGGCCGGTTGATAGCACACATTCCATACATACATTATTTCTCAGCACATTTAAAGCACACAGATTCCTCCAAAGAATCTGTGGAAGGATTGTTCGTGCTGGGAATTGTAGCTCTCTTGAGGGGTAAACTAGAGTTCCCAGGATTCAGGTGGGCGTGTGGGTGTGCTTGATGTGGATGTGACCCCTTCACTTAGATTTACAGTAAGAAGTTAGTTTTTCTTCGCTTTCATCCAGACACCTTTCCTGAGAATTAATAATAATAATGATAATATTTGTACCCTGCCCATCTGACTGAGTTCCCCCAGCCACTTTGGGCAGCAGCTTCCAACATATATAAAAACGTAATAAAACATTAAACATTTAAAAACTTCCCCATTCAGGGCTGCCTTCAGATGTCTTCTAAAGGTTGTATAGTTACTTATCTCCTTGACATCTGATGGGAGGGCATTACACAGGGTGGGCACCACTACCTAGAAGGCAAGTGGCCAGAATCTACATAAGGCAAGGTGTCAGCCTCTACTTTACTCAGTAATTGTGAAAAACAAAACACTATGGGGATTTCCCCCATATACTGTGGGAGAAGAAATGTGTTCTGAAATTCTCACTTCCCCAAAAGTGTCAGCAACCTTTTATAGCCGTGGGCCGGTCTACTGTCCCTCAGACCATGTGGGGGGCCAGACTATATTTTTTTTGGGGGGGGGAGAACACATTCCTATGTCTCACAAATGACCCAGAGATGCATTTTAAATAAAAGCACATATTCTACTCATGGGACACGGGTGGCGCTGTGGGTTAAACCACTGAGCCTAGGACTTGCCGATCAGAAGGTCGGCAGTTCGAATCCCCGCAATGGGGTGAGCTCCTGTTGCTCGGTCCCTGCTCCTGCCAACCTAGCAGTTCGAAAGCACGTCAAAGTGCAAGTAGATAAATAGGGAAGCTCCGGCGGGAAGGTCAACGGTGTTTCCGTGCGCTGCTCTGGTTCGCCAGAAGCAGCTTAGTCATGCTGGCCACATGATCCGGAAGCTGTCTGCGGACAAACGCCAGCTCCCTCGGCCAATAAAGTGAGATGAGCGCCACAACCCCAGAGTCGGTCACGACTGGTCCTAACGGTCAGGGGTCCCTTTACCTTTACTTTATTCTACTCATGTAAAAACACCAGGCAGGCCCCACAAATAACCCAGAGATGCATTTTAAATAAAAGGACACATTCTACTCATGTAAAAACACGTGGATTCCCAGACTGCCGGCGGGCCGGATTGAGAAGGCGATTGGGCCAGATCCGGCCCCAGGCTTTAGGTTAGTGACCCTTGATTAATAGCGTAGTGCGTCCAAAGAGACTGGGCCCTGAGATTCACGATCTGTCTTTTTGCAGTCTGTAAACAAGGATTGTATATCAGTAAACTGATCCTGTTCCTTTTAAAAGTCGGTAGGAGCCTTCAGGATTTGAAGCATGGCGCATTTCCAGCCAAACGGACCTTGAGTTTTAAGGAACTAAGCAAATGTGCAGGCTACGGAATTGCAAACTTCAGAGCAGACTCTAAAAAAGAATAATTAAATTAGGACATGGTCAGTAGGGAGGGAATTTATCTTTGTGCTTCTGTGTTCTTGATACAGTTTCCTGATCCTGACACATAAGTGCTTCAGCACAGATGTGCACCCAAGAATTTCTCTGGCTTTCCCATTCATTTTAATACATCATCTGCATGCATTAATTTCTGCGTGTTCTGCAGTTCCATCCGCTGAGATGAAGCAGGACTCACCTGAGCAGAGGACACCATAAATGGCAGAGTATCAGCAATGGAATTGGACTATGTGATTTTCCAGATAGCCCATAATTTTCCCTCGAGGATCCTTTTAGGGGCTTCCTCCACAGTAAAGAATAGAAGCATATAACCTCTCTCCCTACACATGCATAGATCCATGTGATATCATTGTTCCACGCTGCTTCCTCATGGGGTGGGGGGGTGAGTCATATGTGATGATGATGATGATAATGATGATGATGATGGTGAACCCATTACCTCACCAAGTGGATAGCATTGCATGGCTTCATATGCAAATCAGCTGTTGGCCCATTGATGTGATAAACTTTTTCAGCCACATTAATTGGCTGAGAGCTGATCATGTAGATGCTGTGAGCCAGCAATACTGTATTTTTTGCTCTATAAGACGCACCCGACCATAAGACGCACCTAGTTTTTAGAGGAGGAAAACAAGAAAGCAACGCAAAGCCTCTTGAGCGAAGAGTGAGGAGCGCTCCAGCTGCGCTCAAGAGGCTTTGCGTGGCTATCGCTGAAGCCAGGAGAGCAAGAGGGATCGGTGCACACCGATCCCTCTTGCTCTTCTGGCTTCAGCGATAGCTGCGCGGCCTGCACTCGCTCCATAAGACGCACACACATTTCCCCTTACTTTTTAGGAGGGGAAAAGTGCGTCTTATACAGCGAAAAATACTGTGCTTTATACCTGGCGAATTAGTAGGTACATCTTTATTCCTAGAACTTTCAGTGCTAGGAAATACAGTGGTACCTCGGGTTACATACACTTCAGGTTACATATGCTTCAGGTTACAGACTCCGCTAAACCAGAAATAGTACTTCAGGTTAACTTTGCTTCAGGATAAGAACAGAATCGGGTTCCGGCGGCGCAGCAGCAGCAGGAGGCCCCATTAGCTAAAGTGGTGCTTCAGGTTAAGAACAGTTTCAGGATAAGAACAGACCTCCAGAACGAATTAAGTACTTAACCCGAGGTACCACTGTAAACACCAGGAAATCTTTCACACTCCCCCCCACAGAACATCTTAGTGGGGAATTCCCAGTAGGGAATGTGTGCTAATATTGCAACCATGTGGCCAGGGCTGATTGCGTGGGTCTTCCTCGCCTGCTCAGCACTTCCCTAGGAATCATAGATTTGTAGAATTGCAGAGTTGGAAGGGACCACGAGGCTCAGCCAGTCCAACCCCTTGCAATACAGGAATCTTTCAGCCAATGTGGGGCTTGAACCCACAACCCTGAGATTAAGAGTCTTCTGCTCTACTGACTGCGCCATTCCTCATTTGGCAGTAGGGGAATATATATCAGGTGGGAACCACACAATGATAACGTTTTACACACAATGGTATGAGATTGTGGCATAGGGTATCAGTTCCCACTTCTCTCTGTGTGTAATTAGTTTTTTGGGGGAGAAGGGGGTGTCTCATACTTTATTAGCACTATAACGTTTATGATTGTTGTAACTATACATGGTCTCTTTAAAAAGAGACACTTTCTAAGTGCAGAAGGGGTAAAAATTCTGGTGAAAAATTGCCATGTTTATATATAGTTTACTTCCTCCACTCTGATATTCATTTAGATCTAAATATAATCATATGCATTTTCACTAACGACAAATTGCTGACATAGAATGAGATCCTAGATTTCCCATATTAATCTCAGTGCATAAAGACCGCAAAACTCAACACATTGTGGAAAGCAAATGTTACCATTTTGACCTTAGTGTGGTCAAGTCACCCAAGGAAAGGTTTTGTCCTAAAACTGTAGGCCCAGTCCAATAAATATTGGGATTCTCTTTGATTATGGCACATGTTGCATGGGCGTGTTTTTCACACACCTATTTTTGCAGAAGCCAAATGTCCCTACTTAGTAAAAAACAAACTGCAGTTGGTTTATAGCCAATAGAGGAAGCACGCGGGAATAAAACACAAGCTATGAACTATATATATGAAGCCACTGTTCTTGGTTATGCTAAATGGGGCTCCACATTTATGTTTCGATGGCTTTTTTCCTGCCCAAGCCACAGTAGGAGAACAGAAGACTAGTCTAAGAGTGTTTTTTATGCATAATTCTCACTGCAGCATTCTTCTTCACTGCCGTGTTTTCCCCAAACATAATATTAAAAAGGTCAATTGTGTGGATCGCTGCGAATCATGTGCATAAAAAACACTCTTTAATGCCAAACTGTGGTTTAACATTCCAGCTTGCATCGCCCTCCCGCCTCGCCTCTTTCGCCGCAGCAACAAGAAAGAGATGGGAAGCTTCCGCTTCCATGTTAGATTAACCACAGTTTAGCATGTTGCCTAAACCCTAAACTGTGGTTTGTCATAACTGTGGTTGCTTGAAACAAGCCTGCTTCCTAAGCTGTAGTTTGAAGTTCAGACTGAAAACCATAGTTTGTTGAGACGCAGTGTCATAACTCTAAGCTTTGGTTGACGTTGCATCAAAGTCAGTCCTGTGTTAGATTGCTGGTGGAAATAATTGCTTTCTCAAAGGTTATTGTGTTTCTCATCACTTGTAGGTGGAAGAAGGTATGCATCTTCTAATCACTGGACCTAATGGTTGCGGGAAGAGTTCTCTCTTCAGGATTCTAAGTGGTTTGTGGCCTGTCTATGAAGGAGTTCTTTACAAACCACCTCCTCAGCATATGTTCTACATTCCTCAGAGGTTTGTGCTTTTACTTGTATCTGTTTTCGCAAAACAATATATTTTTTATAAATTACAAGTGTTTCCTGCTTTTGGGAGATATAGTGCTCAAGGCAACTCAAAGGAACAAAACAATTAAAAACAATTAACCAATATAAGGTTATCGGAGGTCTACAAGTGTCATCTGGGCTTCTTTGCTTTCTTGGATTGGGGCAGGGGGCACGTATTGATTTTAGAAAAATGAGAGAAAGGCCATAGTCAACAACTGTTGACAGACTTCTTAAAAGGCTACACTAGCTTCCACTAGAGTGACGCTAGGGATGATTCTCAATCTCTAAACAGGAAAAATCAAAAGGAGGATTACTGAAATTTTCACACTGGCGTGGTAGGTGGGAGGATATAGGAAAAGAGGGGACTTACTCATCGCCAGATACAGACACAGGGTAAGCACCAATTTGAAGAGTAATTAGGGTGGTCCAGCAGCAGAATATTGCTCTATCTTGACAAAAGCAAGTGGGACTTTTAATGATGTTTGGATCTTGTGCAATAGCTTGATTAAAAACTGCCCACTCCTAACATGAAAAGCACATTAGCTCTTACCTAGCTGCTGAAAGCAATGGAAGAGCTGGTATTGTTGCTTTCCGTGAGATTCAGCCATGAATAACTCTCAACTGAAGTGGGGACAATAAGCTTAAACCACCATGAGGCTTTTCTGTGTGAATATCTTTCAAGGGAAAGGGGCTTCTGGTGGTGTGTGTGGAACTTGTGGACCTTCAGATGCTTATAACTACAACTCCCATCAGCCCCAACAAGTGTGGCCAGTGGCAAGGAGTGATGGGAGATGTAGTTCAGCGACATTTGAAGGGCCAAGGCCTCACCACAACTGGGCTAGTGCAGGAAAACATCTATGGATTTATGTCATTATTTATGCCATCCTTCTTTCCAAAGTAGCCCAGGGCAGCCAACATAAAAAAGTCAAAACAATACATTTTAAAATGTAACAAAAACCTATTTAAAACATTTTGAACCCACCTAAGAACATTTAAAAAAATAGAATATCTAAAAGCTTACTGGTTTCAAGTTGTCCTGACCTGTATCTTTTAGCCATCAAATGCCTGGGTAAACAGGAATGTTTTTAAACTTCTCCCGAAAGTCAATAATGAAGGAGACATTGCAGCCATTGTCTGCTTGAATCTTACTCAGCACAGTTTGCAAATGCCACTATTTGTATTGGATTTCTCTGAATTAGTAGACTAGCCCTTTAAGGCAACATGCTGTGTTGCCTTCCTAATTAAATGTAGCCCTAGCTGAATCTGCTCAGACAGGGATTGTCTTGATTCCATATGGTTTAATTGAGAATTTTGCTTGCCTTCGTCCGTAAGAACTCTCCATTTATAAGTGAATACACAGATAGCCTTAGGAATTGTTTTTGTATCATTGTGCCTACTGATACAGCATGAGATATGGCCCAGAAATGTGACAATACAATTTACCATTATAAAATGTATAGGAGTAACCTGGGCAAGTCTCCAGGAGGGAATATTAGCTTTAGAGATTAACTGTCATTTTCTCCCCTACCGTCCCAGGCATTCTGGCTGTCTGCTAATTAGAACCAGGGCTTAGAGTTAGAGAAATCCCAGACAGAGATTATATTTCCTAAAATACTTTGCACAACGTCAAAGTTGATATTTATAATGCCCCTTGCCTGGGAGGTTTTGAATGACGGAGGATTTGGTCAAAGTTAAGAAACACATATTTACACTTGCGCCCTAAGGTGTGTGTAAATGTCACGTAATAACTTTTTAAAACCTTTTTTTTAATAATAAAAACTATGTAGATTACATCCAAAGCAAACATTTTGTACATAATTTTGCTTTCTTCATTTAATTGGTGTTGCAGATTATTTTAATACTTGTTGCTATTACTTATTACATCTACCAGCTGCTTTTCTTCTTCTTCTTCTTCTTCTTCTTCTTCTTCTTCTTCTTCTTCTTCTTCTTCTTTTATACTCCGCCCATCTGGCTGGGTTTCCCCAGCAACTCTGGATGGCTTCCAACACACATAAAAACATAATAAAACATCAAACAGTAATAATAACTGTCTGACCAATACAAAAAAGTAACAGTAACTTTAAAAGAAACAACTTATATCAAATAAAGCAAGATTCAACAATCTATTAGAATCTAATAGTAAGCAGTATTGTTTGCTGACATTTAAACAGCTTACACTTACAATAAAGAATTACTAAACTACAATCAATAAAAGCAGCGGCGAGTCACAATGCATAAAATGCCACAAACCATACAAAACCACGTAAAAGGATGGAATTGAGAATCAAGAACACGCAGCTTAATAAAATTATTATTTTTAAATACCCCTGAACTCCTCTCTTCCCATCTGCTTCTGCTGTTCTTCACGAAGCTCAAGTGGGGGGGCTTCAGGGTCCTTCCCCTCCCCACGTTATAGATAAAGATCAGCCCAGTGTGGTAGGTTAAGCTGTGATAGGATCACTGGCTCAAGGAGCTTCGCGGATGGATTGCAGATTTGAGTATCCAATACTCAGACCCAGGGCTAGCAATATGACACACACACACACACACACACACACACACACAGCTTTTTGAACCTAGCTTCCATCTTTACTGACCCTGGGCCAGTTTTATTCCAACATCTAGAAAGGACCACATTGGGTGCCTCCCCCACTCTAACCATTCTTCCCTACTGGGTTGTATGGTGCAGTAGAATATTTCAATTCTTTATGCCCAACCCTTTTTTCAGAGTTCCCTGACTCCGAATTCTGTCTTCATATGCTTAGCAGGAAACATAACTATAAACTGATTCAGCTACCCACACCCCATTTCAAAAGTCTACATGTCTTGCGTCCGCCCACTGAATACATTTTTCCCAGTTGCCATATCTTAGAAACGTGGCACCTTCTTTTTGTAGGCCTTTGGTTGCACATATTTGCATAGTTTTGTCATGTCAACCTATCCCATCTTAGTTCTGCACGTTTAGAATGGGTTCACATACTGTATTGGCCCGAATATAAGCCGCACCTTTAATATTCAAGGGGGGGGGGAGAGAAAGAAAAGGCAATACCCAAATATAAGCCGCTCCCTTAAAATTCCGCAGGCACTCACACCCATTCCGTTTTACTGTATATCTGTTTCAGCAGCAATATCGTAAAAGCCCATTTTTGTAAGGTCACAAATTTAAGCCCCACTTAAACTTTTCACGGTCGGAATTTGGGGGAAAAGTGAGGCTTATATTCAGGCCAACACGGTAAGTGCTTCTGCCTTACTATAGATTTGGCCAGTTTCCCCAATGTGCCTCCCAGCTTGAAGCAGATACTGACATCTACAGTGGTGCCTCGCAAGACGAAATTAATCCGTTCCGCGAGTCTCTTCGTCTTGCGGTTTTTTCGTCTTGCGAAGCACGGCTATTAGAGGCTTAGCGGCTATTAGCGGCTTAGCGGCTATTAACGGCTTAGCGGCTTAGCGGCTTTAAGAAAAAGGAAACAAACTCGCAAGAACTCGCAAGACGTTTCGTCTTGCGAAGCAAGCCCATAGGGAAATTCGTCTTGCGGAACGACTCAAAAAACGGAAAACTCTTTCGTCTAGCGAGTTTTTCGTCTTGCGAAGCATTCGTCTTGCGGGGCACACTGTATTTGTTAGGGTGGCAGTTGTTCAAATACTTGTACTGGCTTGTATGTAAATAATAATAGCAATAACGATCATGTCAGCAGCAGCTCTTTGTCAGTGTGCTCCCTAGTGGTGATGTAACAAGAAAGCTGACCGCCTTTTTTACTTGCTGATGTCACGGTCATGCATTACGTTCAGGCCATGTGTTCTTGTAATCTTTTCCCCAACTCTATGGCTCCTCCGTTTGGCACCTGAGCCTTACAAAGGAAGTGTCATAAAGGGCAGGAAATGTCCTGACAGCTGCTTGAGATTTCACAGCGCTGACTTTATCGTGATTGACAGCCAGCTCCCTGCTGCGTCTCCCCAGTGGTTCTGAATCCCTGACGGGGGCAGTTTCTGATTTGCGCGGCTGCAAGGGAGCCGATAAAAATTTCATGAAATCAAGGAGCGTTGCTTAACCTGGCTTATCCTTCAATCGCACGGCTTCCTTTCCAGATTAAGGATTTGTGCTCTTTCTGCGGTTCGGTTGTTTATTGTGCAATAATATATTTCTGCCTGTGACAGCAGCTTCTAATTACGCATCGTGCTGGGAAAGCTCTATGATCCGTGCCCCGTAAACTATGTTAGCGGGTGTAAGGTAATTATGCTCAGGCTTGGTAATTGAGCTCCTTGAAATATTTAGCAGGCGCTCTTGGATATTGGAGAGGAAAGCTTACGGTTGGCTATTTTGGGCTCAAATCAATTATTTATATCTGGAGAGAGTTGTGGAAACTGCAGCTTGCCCTAAAACACCCTTGAACTTATTTCAATGGAGTGGAAGAATGCTATAGACATCCCACCAGACGTGTATATTTTAGCAGTTCCTCCATATCCATCGTCATGATGGGCAAATGTATATAACAGAACTTAACTTCCAACAGGGCAAATCTACGGTACATTTATTTTATTATTTTATTTTATTTTATTTTATTTTATTTTATTTTATTTTATTTTATTACAATAAATATTTTATTCTTTATTCCATATAGAAAGTTACATTTGATACTCAACAATCATATTCCAATTCAACAGAACTAGTGACTTCCTTCTTGCCCAACATCGATATTTATAACCCAAGTTACATACAATTAGGGACGCGGGTGGCGCTGTGGGTTAAACCACAGAGCCTAGGGCTTGCCGATCAGAAGGTCGGCGGTTCGAATCCCTGTGACGGGGTGAACTCCTGTTGCTCAGTCCCTGCTCCTGCCAGCCTAGCAGTTCGAAAGCACGTCAAAGGGCAAGTAGATAAATAGGTACCGCTCCGGCGGGAAGGTAAATGGCGCTTCTGTGTGCTACTCTGGTTTGCCAGAAGCGGCTTAGATAGTCATGTACGCCAGCTCCATCGGCCAGTAAAGCGAGATGAGCACCACAACCCCAGAGTCGTCCATGACTGGACCTAACAGTCAGGGGTCCCTTTACCTTTACCTTTACATACAACTGCGTTTTAAAGTTCCGTCATCTAATTTCATCCTCTCTAACATGTTTCCTAATATGTTCTGCTATTTTATTACACTTCAGACCGCACTGTGGTCTTCGCATATGGGAAATAACTTTTTCTATAGACCAGAAAGGGTTCCCAGTCTTCTTTAAAAGATTCTAAAGTTGTATGTTTTATCAGTGCTGTCAGTTTTGTAATATGCCATCTTTGCATATTACAAGATTTTTATCCACCATTCTTCCATTTTGGTTCATATAGAATCCTTGCTGCTGTAGTCACATACATTAAAACCATTGAGGCTGCCCTTAGTACAAATTTACAATGCAACATCAGAATCGCAGTTTGTTAAAGGTGTTGAGGATTCTTGGTTAAAGACCCCCTTACAGAACTACAGTTCCCAACGTTCCCAGGAGATGGGGAATGGTTATTTAACCCACCGAAGTCTTCGCTATAAGAAACGCCCTTAGTGTTTATGTTCTGTAAAAGCCTTCCGTTGTGTTCTGTAGATCATTTTTTCAATAGATATTTTTTTCCTATTCATTAGCCTTGAGAATTCCAGCAAATGTTCATAGCACATCTGTAAGATGCAGGTTTTGAGAGACTGCTGTGTCAGCCCAGCACCCATATTAGCCTAATTCCTAAGCTCTGGAGGGGCGGTTCTCCCAGGAACAACAGAATAAAATCAGTCCAGAGGCCTTAAGAAATTGCCACCAGTACTAGCTCTCACTGCCCAGTTGTTTGTCTCAGTTCTGATTCTGTGTTTTTAAATCGCTTTTCAAATGATCCAGTCCCCTATTTATACAGTTAATATGGCCCTTTTAATGTGAAAAGCGCTTTAGAGTCCATGAGCTATCTTCTTGACACAGCACAATTATTTCTAGTTTATGAAGAGAGAATAGAAGCAAAGGAATGCTATTTTAGTCCCCCTCACCTTAATCTAGTGAGCCCATTGGTGGATTTTGATGGGACCCCACATTTTCCAGGTTCAGTGGTGGTTCTTTGCCATACCAGTGTGTCTGTGCTCCTGCTGAGCCAGATTCCGTTCACATTGCTGTAGACATCAATTGTTGCTGCAGAGATTCTGATAAGGAGGCAAGACAGTTGGTTCAAATAACTGGCTAGGTGCTTCAAAAAGCTGGGGCACCTACAATGTCTGAAATAAAGTGCATTATGTTAAGCATGTTAAAGGGCCATTCATTCTAGAAACATGGACCATCATCCAAATAATATGCGTGTGGAATTGCATCGCGTGCAAATGGTGTGTGAGGAATTGTGGATTGAGCTGGCGGTCTGCTCAGAGATTTCACTATAGTGATGCCCATTGCATGTGAGAACCGGAGAGAGCCGCCTCTCCGGTCAGAGATTTGCTTTCTATTTATGACGTAGCACTTATTATTATTGCAGTTATATCCCACCTTGCTTCCAAGGAGCTTGAGATGACTTGATGACTTTCCCATTTAATCCCCACAACACCCTCTGAAGTAGGTTAGGCTGAGAGAACATGACTGGCCTAAGGTCCCTCACTGAGCTTTGTGGTTGAGTGGGAATTTGAGCCTAGGTCTCCTTGGTCCTAGTCCAGCACTGTAACCACTGCGCCACACTGTCTCTCTTCCCACTGCTGTGAAGACAAAGACCCTTGTGAAATGCAATATAGGCCAGTTTCTTTGGAAAGGAAGGAAGGAAAGAAGAGCCAAAGTCCTCTGATCACATTCGTTTTCAGCATCGGGTAAAATTATCAGTAATAAATTCAGGTAATATTATTACAGCTTTCTGACATGGGAACACATAGTATCATTAGTTTCATATCACATATGTGTTCACCATGTGAGTAAAAATATGGGTAATATGTACATATGCATTAGTAGAAAGCAAAAAACCAAGCTGAAAAACCCTTAAGAATGTAACATTTTTTGGTCATGCCACATCCTGGCTCTAATTTCGTACTGAGTCAATGTCATTTGTCACATGTAACATGTGTCCATGTAACACAAAGAAGGAAGCATTTTTTGGAGCACTGGGTGCCAGTATTCAGTGAATGCAGTTTTCTTTTTAAATGCCCAGAGCAAATGAATTCCTTTAGTAAGCCACAGCAAAAGACTGCAGTTCCGCCTTAAGCTCATTTCACATGCGCATATTGATCCTGAATCCTTCTACAACTGCTATATTTCATTATTTAGTTATTTATTTAAAGGAATTTCTAAACCTTTTAGCCCTTTAAAAACCCCTAAGTGGTGTACACTATCTCTAGCATAAAAACGATATCCATCAAAACAAATAATATAACAAAAAAACAATTAAACAACCTTAAAACATATGCAAGTGTATAAAAGCAAGTAAAGCAGAGATTCTGGGGATTCTCACACATAAAACAGGGTCCTTTGCTCAAATGGCTTATAATATTATTTAGCCTCTGTCCAAATACATTGTAATATTTGCTATCTTATTTCTGGGTAGCTATCATATAATGTCAAGCAAATATTCACTGGTGCTCTAACTCTGTCCTGATATGTCACAGATGATCTGAAATACAAGCCTTGGAGTTACAGTTAATATCATGTTTATTTAGGTATTGCATCTGATTCCGTGAAAATGTATTTCTAGTATTTAGTTCTATAAAAGTAGACTAAGTTTTCATGTGAAAACAAACATGTAGAACAATGAAATTGAAAAACTACATAAAAACTACATAAAACTACCACAAAACTACATAAAACTACACAAAACATTCAAAACCCCCTAAAAACTCTAAAACCCCATTTTAAAATACAATATACTATAGAGACCCCTTATGCTGTGTTTAGAACCAGAATTGCATTTGCGTAGAAACTGTTTCTCAGGCGGCTAGTCCTGGCCTTACATTGTGGAACTATGAACCAAATATTCTCACAAGGTGTTTAGGATGAACCTTCAACCTGCCATAAAACAACAACAAAGCAATTACTCTTTTTGCTGAAAAATATTCTTCTTTCTTTGGCGATCACTCGTAGCTGAGTAAGATTGTCTTCCATAAACACGGTTTTAACAATGAGTCCGTAAGTGACTGTGGAGGCCAATTCTGGATCCACACGTCCTTCCACAGTGGGGACATTGGTTTCCAGGCAGGAGTTGATCACGATGTAGATTTGCCAAGTGTGCCTTCCTCTTAGCACGTTTCTCCCTTGCGTCCTGAGTTCGAGTGTCTTCAAAGTCCATGACACCTTTGGTAAAGGCTGTACTCCAACTGGAGCACACTAGACTGCCTGTGTGCTTATCTATAGGAGAATCTAGCTTAGCAAATTGTCCTGGAAATTTCGTTTGTTTTGTCATTGCAAAAATGCTACCATCCATAAGCCCAAATGAAATAATTATTTGTAGGCATCCAGCTATGCTCCATTTGCGGAGAACGAATATTGAATCTTACGTCTAGTTCTCATGTACCCTGGTCATAAATATTTGTATATTCTTTGCTTGTAAACCTGGTGAAAGTTGCTGTATTTGCTTGTTTGTAGCACAGACAGTTTTAGAGTCCGTCAGGCTGCCCACTTTTCCATGTCTGCCATTATCTGAATGTGCCAGAGGACATTCTCAAGGCTGAGCACCTGTCAGAGTGAAGCTGGAAACCAGAAAGTTGTGCCAGGAGGTCAGAGCTGGGAAGTCAAGTCAGGAGTCAATACTGAGGAACAAGGCTAGGAATGAAAGCTTGAAAGAGTAAATCCAAAATGTGCCAGAGCTGGGAAGGCTTTTGCTGCCCAGGCAAGTTCTAGCCAACCTCATAGCCAACCTCGGCCCTCCAGTCTTTTAGGACTACAACTCCCATGATCCCTAGCTAACAGGACCAGTGGTCAGGGATGATGGGAATTGTAGTCCCAAAACAACTGGAGGGCTGAGGTTGCCTATGCCTGTTCTAGCCCAAGGAGGAAGGCTGTGTTTGTGTAGGTATATATTTTCTGTTTTACAATATAAAATACTCATTTAAACATCCTTAAAATATCATTGACTTCCCTTCTTCCCTTTCCATGGTTCATTTTGCTTATCATAAATCCCTGCATATTTTACAAAAACTAAACCATTCAGTATTCCATTATTACATCCATCAGAACTTATTTACCCTGTTGAATTAATCTTAATGCTGCCAGCGTTTTCAGCTGTACACAATTTTCGCTGATATATTCAATAAACATTTTCCAGTCTCCTCTAAACGTATGTTCTTCTTGTTCTCTTATTCTACATGTTGAGTCTGTAAGCTGTGCATATTCTGTCAGCTCTAGTTGCCATTCTTCTTTGGTTGGGCTCTCACTCGTTTTCCATTTTTGGGCTAACAAACCACGGGCCGCAGTAGAAGCATACATAAATAACCGTTTTTGACACCTGGGAGGAGGAAGGCTTTTGTAGTTCTTCCTGTTTAGGAGGATTTGGTGGCCATCCTGGGTGGGTAGGACCAGTCGAGCACCTGAGAACTAGTACATCCCTTAAAAAAATATGCTGCAATCTGCAGTCCTAGTGGCTCACCATAGAGAGCAGCAAAGAGCTGAAGATTCCCTGCTTAAGTCCTGGGAGCTCCTGATAAATGTATACAAACAATCCGTTGTCTTGGAAAATGGGGTGTGGGCCATTCTACTCACTGTTAGATGTGGGCAACGTTAATTTCGAAAAATCGCAGCTTTTGAATAACCGAGGCTCAAAAATGAGAGTTCCACGGTGTACCTGGAAGAAATTGAACAGGAAAATGCATTCCTACTTTGATGTATGCTACTGTGTACTCAGGCAAGGTGACTTTTGTGCGAGGGATAATGTGCGGTTCTTCTTTATCAGGCGGGTTGCTCTTGAGCCACAGTGATCCATGTCACTGCACTGCAGTCTGTTCTGCAAACAAGGCATTGTTCTCTAGAGTGTGTTTACTAAAACAGTCACCCTCAAATAATTACAGTATTTAGAAACACCACATTTAAAGCATTATGCGCTGCTCAAAGAACCCTAAACAGCAGGGTTGAGATGTGACTCCCCGGGAGGCGGCTAATTTTCTCTCTGTTGCTTTACAGACCTTACATGTCCATTGGAACGCTGCGGGATCAAGTGATCTATCCTGACTCTGTGGACGACATGCGCGAGAAGGGCTACCAAGACCAGGATCTGGAGTGCATCCTGCAGATAGTTCATTTGAATCACATAGTGCAAAGAGAAGGAGGTAAACGCTTGAGGTCTCCTATTTCAAATCGAGCAAGTTCAGGGCTGCCCCAATAATGTCAAGGTAAAAAGGTAAAGGGCCCCTGGACAGTTAAGTCCAGTCAAAGGGGACTCTGGGGTTGCGGTGCTTTCAGGCTGAGGGAGCCGGTGTTTGTCCACAGACAGCTTTCCAGGTCATGTGGCCAGCAGGACTAAACCGCTTCTGGCGCAACGGGCTACCGTGACGGAAACCAAAGCGCACGGAAATGCCGTTTACCTTCCCGCCGCAGCGGTGCCTATTTATCTACTTGCACTGGCGTGCTTTCGAACTGCTAGGTTGGCAGGAGCAGAGACCGAACAACGGGAGCTCACCCCGTCGCGGGGATTTGAACCGCCGACCTTCCAATCGGCAAGCCCAAGAGGCTTGGTGGTTTAGACCACAGCGAAACCTGCGTCCCAGTAATGTCAGACACTACCTGCCCACTTAGAGGGGAGGAGGAAGGGGTCTGTTGGGAGAACTCAGGATCTGCCTTCAGTCTGGAAAGGTTTCTGACTTTGCAAGTACCGTATTTTTCGCTCCATAAGATGCACCTGACCATAAGACGCACCTAGTTCTTAGAGGGGGAATGCAAGGGGAAAAAAAATCTTTAAAGGGAGCGCTGAGCAGAGCCGCGTGGAGCGTGTGTGCGGTGCTTGCAGGCTTTTCCCCGAGGAGGGAGAAGGGCCCAAGGGCACACACACTCCGCGCGGCTCTTTAAAGGGAACTCGGCTCTTTGGGGCTTTTCCGGGAGGTGGGGGAAGGGACCGAGGGGCTAAGCCAGAAGCTAGAACAGTGCTCCCTCTTGCTGTTCTAGCTTCTGGCTTAGCCGTGTGAAGCCTCTTCAGGGCAGGGGGAAGGGACTGAGGGGCTAAGCCAGAACGGCAAGAGGGAGCCCCGCACAGCGATCCCTCTTGCTGTTCTGGCTTCTGGGATAGCTATGCAGCCGGCATTCGCTCCATAAGATGCACACACATTTCCCCTTACTTTTTAGGAGGGGAATAGTACGTCTTATAGAGCGAAAAATACGGTAATTAATAGCAATATGATTGTTGCTGGGTTTTCTCCAAATCTGATGCCCTGCTCATCGCCGTTGCCAGATCCCCCAGAGAAGGTGGCAGAGCAGATACTGCAGGACCACAGATAGCTCCAAGGAACTATCTGTAGGAACTTGCTGTACAGTGGTACCTCGGGTTAAGAACTTAATTCATTCCAGAGGTCCGTTCTTAACCTGAAACTGTTCTTAACCTGAGGCGCGCTTTCACTAATGTGGCCTCCTGCTGCCGCCTCCGCACAATTTCCGTTCTCATCTTGGGGCAAAGTTCACAACCCGGAGCAACTACTTCCGAGTTAGCGGGGTTTGTAACCTGAAGCGTTTGTAACCCGAGGTACCACTGTAGTTGAAAGCAGACTGAGCCTTTTAAGCTCAGTCTGCTTTCAACTTTTAAGCCCATGCCCAGTCTACCTCTCTCAGGTTGCAGCCCTTGTGCAGCTCATCTGCACTGTGCATATGTTTATAATCCAAATTTATAAAAATACCCAAAGTACAGTATAGTAAACGTCCATTTGTTACTTAAAGCTGCTCTCTGAACTCCAGTTACCTGGAAATAAGCTCCTTAGAATTCAGCAGGACTTTCTTCGGAGTAGACATGGTCAGGATTGTACTCTAAAGCTGACCTGTTAAAGACAAAAATGGAGAAAAGAAAGAAAAGGAAGTTTAAATCGGAGAGTAAAACGTACCTGTTCTTTTTGGGTGCCTTTGAAGGGTGGGATGCTGTTACAGACTGGAAGGATGTCCTGTCCGGAGGAGAAAAGCAGAGAATGGGGATGGCTCGGATGTTCTACCACAAGTAAGTAAATTTTTTCCAAGTATGGATAGGATGGACATAGGTAGATTGTATTGGTATTGCTCAGGGGGTTGAAGGCAGAATAAAGCACATGGTGCTGTAGAGGGCCCAATTCAAAGTGCTGGTATTGACCTATAAAGCCTCGAGACCTTAAGAGCCGTCTGTCTCCATACAAACTAACCTGGACCTTGCATTCATCACTTGAGGCCCTTTTCTATGTCCCCCTTCCCTGAGAGGTTTGGAGGGTGGCAACACGAGACTTTAGTTGTTCCCAAGTTGCTCTTTGCGCATTTATAGTCTGTACAAACAAGAACCTGGTCATGCTGAAAAACAAAAACAAAAAAAATTAAAAACCATTTTCTTAAGAGTAGGTCCAGCAACTTGTCTTGCCAAGCTGACAGAAGCTGCATTTAAGTATGTTTACTTGTGGCAGGTTGTCCAGGTTGCTTTGAAATTAAGGGACAGTCCAAGCACAGGCATAGGCAAACTCGGCGCTCCAGATGTTTTGGGACTACAACTCCCATCATCCCTGACCACTGGTCCTGTTAGTTAGGGATGATGGGAGTTGTAGTCCCAAAACATCTGGAGGGCCGAGTTTGCCTGTGCCTGGTCAAGCACATGGTGGGGGAAATAGTGTGGACTCCCATTTCCAGATAAAAACTTAGAAGAGACATCGTTTGGGGTGAAGAGATCTCTGCACCAGCTGCTCCCTATGTCACTGGGGGCATCAAGAAAAATACTTGATGCAGACCTCCGCCTTTCCATACTCCATATAGTCCTTGGTAGCATTTTGGAAGATCATCTCAACTTTTTTGGAGAAGATTGCTGAAATCAGTTTCACAATTTGAAGGATCCCCATTTGCTTTGCTCATAGTGATCATGAGAGCAAATTGCATTTCACGTCAATTAAGTCTGTTTCAAGTTCAAATGTGGATCGTTCTCATGGGTGCACACAGCTTGAGCTGCCTTGAATTTCTAATATGTGGGTGTCTGATGTAACTTTTCATTTAGCTTACAGAAGTTATCTTGGGCAGCCTACCACATAAAAGGGGGGGGGGAATTTCATTCAGTATATAGCTAAGATGATTGCTCTGAATCCAAAATTTCAGCGCATGTGGGGGGAATCCAGTGGACACTTGCAAGTGTGATTCGCACGAGAATGTGCATCTTTGTTCGCCTAAATCATGCCTCCTAGCTGTTTCAAAAAGTGAATGAATAACTATTTGTTTTCCTTCTTTACAAGGCCCAAATATGCATTGCTGGATGAGTGTACAAGTGCTGTCAGCATTGATGTCGAAGGAAAGATATTTCAGGCTGCTAAGGGGGCTGGCATATCCCTGCTTTCAATAACACACAGACCATCTCTTTGGTGAGTCTTTACCTAGGACCTTTTTTAAAAAAACCTTCTTGCCTTATAATGTATGTAGGTTTCATCAGGTACTGTATTCACCTCACGATTATGTGGCATTCCCAATCACAGGAAGACTCTTGAAGCAAACAGCACCTATTGTTGGCATCTGTCTGTCTCAAGAGACTATGAAGTGCACCTCCAGATGTGAAGTCAAACCACTGTGACCTCCTAGGGGCGCAAGTCTGGGCAGCGTGTCTGGAGGTCCTGGGCTGCCCAGCCAACAAGACCCTCATCTTGGCCTCGCTGATGTGGTCCAAAGGAAAGCAGAGCAATATGTTTGGCACCAGGTGGGCTACAGGAGTTGCCAGAAAGAGGCGTAAAGGTTCCATCCAACTGTCTTAGAGACTCCACTCCAGATTCGTGTAGGGTTTGCTCCTTAGCCTTTTCTTCTCCCGAAGATATCCTGCAAGGCAGTGGAGGGTTAAGGCTTCCTGTTTGCGTGGCGAGTTCCCGCCTCCCCCCAGTAGGAATAAAGACACAGGACACAATTATTTAAGGTTAATGGGCTAAAATTGGCCACAACTTAATTGGTTACAGGTAAGAGTGGTATTGGCTTAGGCATTGGTCCTATCAGACTATCCGGCTTCAGCCTGTTTGCTAGAAAACCAGATAGGGTTAACACCAGCAGGGGGAGCCCTGCTGATGCACATCAACTAGGTACTCCCCCGGGGTCACCAATTGGGGGCGCGCTTTAGGCCCTGGCCTCCATAGGCTTCGGACAAGACAACGCCCCCCGGAATCCTTTACCGGACTACCCTTCAATATTTGGGAGAGGTGATGGCACTCCTCCCCCCCAACACATCTACACAACAATACCCCTACCAATGCCTAACCGCCAAAGCCAAGGAGTTGTGACGATTTGCTACGAGGTAGGCGAAAAACCAAATGGCCGGCGCCAATTTGCCAAGTGGAAAAAATCCCACCAGGCCCCTTAACGGCGACCAACCGAAGTCCATAGTAAGGTCAGAAGGGAAACCTTAAAGGGCGGGTGGGTGGGAAACCACAACAGCTGCGCAGACCAAAGAGGGAGATCCCGGGGCCGCACTTGCCTTAAATGAGGCAAGCTACACCCCCTGAGCAGCTGATTGGCTGGCTCAGGGAATGACGCGGCCCAAGGATTCCTCTAATCGCGCGGGGCTGGAAACCAGCCTCCGTGCGCATGTTGGGGGCGTGAGCCCGCAACCCCACCTCCTCCTGATGTCGGAAGTGGCTTTCTGCCTATGCCAGGAATGGAGGTCTCCCTCGACACTGCAGGGAGAGACAGACGGAGATAAACAAAGAATGATGGGGAAAACTCTTTCTTTGAATTCCTCTCTGGGTGGGAGAGGAACAGGCTCTCACCTGCAGATTGCCCTGCGGTCTGGTACTCGCTTCCCTATGGAATGTGAGGGCAAGCAAAAGCACTGGGTTCAATGTGACTATCGTGACACCCCCCCCCCCCAAATCCGGTCCCAGAAGCAGAGGATATCTTGCTGATAGGGCTTTAACTGAAGTAAAGTAAAGGCATGTGCTAAAGGCAATGAGACAACAAACTGCGGAACATCTCAGCTACAAGGATTTAAAGGTTGGAATTGAGATAAGGTTTTATTCGGTGCCACAGACTTTGTTTTTCAAAGTTTTTCTTCTACATTTCTGATTTGGCAACCCTCCTTGGAATGCAAGGTTAAAATATAATATAGAAAGTGAAGACTGAAGAAACTGGATTAATAACATGAAATTTAACATCAAACTGGAACTGCATGTGTGAGAGGAATGGGATGGAGAGAGAGAGGAAAGGGTGGGGGAGTTTCACCCTTTGAAAGGACTATGTTGGAATATAGAACGAAACCACCCCCACTCTGTTATTTTCAAAGGAATGTGAAGGAGGCTGAGACAATTTTGAATGTAATCTAACTGGAATGATAACCGACTATAATTTTTTCAGTTTAAAGGAGGAGAGAAGTTTGCCACCTCCAAGGTCAGATGTTTTCTGGCAGTTTGGAATTGGAATGCTCTTCCTAGGTTGGGGGGGGGGGCGGAAATGGTGAGGACGGTTTATTTGTTGAAACAGCAGAGTCTCTTACAAGCTTACAATCATGGGATGAAGTGATGTAGAGGCTTTTGGAAAACTGTGGGACAACCACTTATTCCGAGTCACGATGGGAAATATCAACAGTTGGAAGAATGAAGGACACAACGCCATATATGGTTGGGACAACATCATGGGGGGGGGAATAACCACACGCAGGACAGAACAATGATTACAGACTTGAGTACCTAACTCGAAACTTTATAAATTACTTATAATATATTAACACAAATTAAAACCATAAGATTGTAGCTGTTGTATAAGGGATTACTATCTTGAAGGGAATGCAACTGAAATTATTAAGATTTTGGAACGCAGAAAATAAAACAAAACGAAACAAAGAGGAACCCATCAAAACTAGCACGTGAGGAGGTCACTTTACCTGAACTGCATAATTCAGTATATAAATAATTGGATTTAATAATTGTATTAATTGGATAAAATTGGCATTGTTGTAATGAGGCTGTTATTGGAACGATATTGGAAAATCTATATCTATCTATCATCTATCTATCTATCTATATTTATATTTATCAAAAGGGCAGTGAAGGGTTAGGATCAGAGTTTTCCTTCTCCTAGATGGGCTCCCTTCCCAGGTTGACAAGCCCCATCTGCCCCTCTACAACACGTGCAGAAACCGTCTTCTTAACCGTTGAAGCCAGTGGAGGTTGCTCTCTGCAGACATAGCACTAGTTTCTGAAAGTTGAAATTCTTGCAGCTTCCAAGCTTTCGCAAATGCTCTTCTAAATGAACCCTACGGAACCTGTTGCGTTTCTGGTCTCTTCCTGAGAGTCTGCCCGCTCATCATGGTCCTCCTGTGAATGTTTGAGATTTTGTTGCTGGATTTCTGAGTGTTTCTTTTCTTCTCCTGCAGGAAGTACCATACACACTTGCTCCAGTTTGATGGGGAAGGACACTGGCGCTTTGAACAGTTGGACAATGCTATCCGCTTAACCCTCAGTGAGGAGAAGCAAAGACTAGAATCCCAGCTTGCAGGAATGCCAAAAATGCAGCAGAGACTGAACGAACTTTGCAAAATCTTAGGGGAAGATTCCGTGCTTAAAACAATGGACAAAGAAGAATAAATGTTTTTAGTTCATTTCCCCACCCCAATTTTTTAAAAGTTAACGATGCACTTTGATTTCTGAGACACAGTGGTTTGCATGCACCTGATTAGTGTAGACTGTAAGGAATTGGCCACAAACTCAATGCTTGAGATAACTGTCAGCTTTATAATGTGAAGGAAGAAAGTGGTTCAAACTAAGGCTGTCCTGAATTTTAGTGAGTTCTGGTTTTCAGTGTGGGGGGAAAACGTTCTGGGAAGGTGTATGAAACGGCTTTGCAAAATCTTCTATCTTCTTAATATGCTCCTGGTTCGATGCAATTTTTAGGGCTTTCTTTTAGGACTGGTTTCAGGCACAGCACCACAGAGCAAATCAGATCTGAAGATGTGACAACATGCTCTGAGTTTGGGGGGCAAAAGAGGCAACTAGATTTAACTCCCAGTTCACAGAAGGGTTGTGACACAGTGGGGGAGCACATGGGTTGCATGTCAACCTCATATGTTCAATCCCCAGCATCCCCAGAGACCTAGCCCTGAAGACCCACATCCAGTCAGTGTAGACAATATTGAGCTACATGGACCAATGCTCTGGCTCAATGTAGGGCAGCTTCTTCAATTCCCTAGATTTCTTGCTCTGTGGCAAGTTGTTTGCTGCCAGCTAGTTCATGTTGTGCATTCTGATGCTTGACAGTTTGGGACAGAATGAGAATACAGGAATGCTGAAGATGTACATCCAGATGCAGATCTAATGGATGAAAGTCTACATTTGGATGTGCATTAGTTGCGCATATAAATTTCAGATGCCATCCATCCATTTTGCAATGGGTGTGCATGTGTATCCAAATGGTTGTCCACATTATGTCCTAACTGTATTCAGCTGATACAGATAGCTGATGTATTCAGCTATCTTTATATTTATAAAGGACTGGCTCCTGGGTTGACTGGGCTTTGGGCAAAGTGCTGTTGTGCGAGGACCCCTTTGCCATGGTGCCCCCTAACATTTCTGGGGGTCAAGAGGGACGTACAAGGGTGGCTGAAGGCAGCAAAGAGCCCAAATGCCCCCAAAAACCTCTGTTTCCAGGACATGGTTGGAAACAGAGATGGCATCCACCATCTGCATTGTTTTTGGATTATTATTTTAGAGCCCAGAACAGTAGTCAACCGTGGTATGGAGCCTAGTAGATTCTCTAAGGAGCCCCCAGGTGAATCTGAGCCCACAGATCTGGATCAGGACTTTTCCCCCAGCCAGAACTCACCTGAACTCATTTCCGGCGCCATTGCCATTATATAAGAGAACAAGGGAGGTGTTCGTGGTGAATTCCGGCACCTCTTTTTCTAGAAAAAGGGAAGACCCTAGTACCCACCACCACCAAGGGAGCACTGACATTTCTTTGCAAAAAGGTGCAGAAAATTCACTGGAAAAGTAGGGCTTGTGTCACGGTGGTGTGTGGTGTGATTGAACTGTTTGCAAAACACGTTCCTCCTTTTCAGCTCGGCACTAGTTTGAACCCCAGAAAATTATCAAGAAACGCACTGTATATATCAATCGTTACACCTTCCAAGCTCACGGTGCTCCTGGGAAGCTCCTTGTGTAGTTGGATTACCCTGACAGATTCTTGCTTCAAAGCCAGGAGGTAGAATATGATCTCCCACCATCCTGCCATGCGCATATGATATGCCTGGTGCGTTGCACAGGCATGGAGCAACAGAAGGGCCGGGCTTGGTGAGTATTCAGGTGCATGGTGGACAGGGGGAGGCGGAATATAACATATATGGAGGGGGGGGATCATTTTTTATTTAAAAAAACCCTGTGAAAATGATATTTGCAGATAATAACACATGCATGTCAGCAGCCGTGCTTTCCTGGGAAGCAACAAAATGACAGGCAGCTTAGAAAATAAGGGGACGGCCCTGGCCTTTTCATTCTGTGCACGACATGGCAAGTACGTCACGAAGAAGAAATTTGGAGGCTTTTTTCTACTCTTACACTGGGAAGCATGCATCTGCGCTCTGTAACGCAATGGGCACTTGTATCTACGTCTCACTTAAAGTAATTCAAAGTGATATGCTATGAGTTTATTCCATTTATTTTCACAAAACTGTACGCTGCTTCCCTTGTTGCTCCTATTATAGTTCTCACTGTAGTAGCAATAGAGGGAGACCGTTTTGAACTGGTCAAGGTGGCAGGTGATTCCTGCAATGGGCTGTTTGGGATGTACCAGCCACATGCACAGAAAGTTAGCCTATATGCCAATTCAAGGTTCACTGGGTGCTCTTTTAGCAAGGTCATGGTGATTTCTGATTCCCTTTTGCATTTTGGAAAGAATGGTCTATCCTTGAAAGTAACCTGCCATTTTGGAGAGAATGGTCTATCCTTGGAAAATGCCAAGTTACTTCCAGTTGGGTTCTGTGGCTTCCTAGGGTGCATTCCTTGTTCCCGTTTCCAAATTCCAGGCACCTGACTTGAATGCCCATTTCTTGTTGATTCTTCCACCGACAAGGTAAAGGAATTTGCCTTCTATCAGGTTAGACTGTGTGTTCATTCAGCCCCATATTGTCTACACTGACTCGCAGCGGCTGTCTACTAGAGTCTCAGGCAAACGTATTTCACATTACCTGCTACCTCATGCTTTCGGTTGGAGGTGCCAGGGATTGCATTTGGGACGTTTTGCATGCCAAGCATGTGTCCTGCCATTGCTCCCTCCTGCATGTTAAAATTATTACTGTGCGTCTTAGTGCAAAAGCGGATGATTTGATTCTAACCCTGCTGTACTGGAGTAGACAGAGTACTTAACAATTTCCAAATCCCAGCAATTGAAAAGTAATTGCTTGTTTTTCTTTGATAACGGAATTTCTCAATAAACTAATATGGGAGAAAAGAGAAAAGATAAGAAAAGGCACTTCCAGACTGTCACTATTTTTGAGTAGGATTCAAAAACATGCCAGCCAATTCAAGTAGCGCAGTTAAAGTTGATTTGGCTCTCTTCCACAACAAACTTGCTTCCCCCTCAAAACAGGCTCTTGGTGGCAAGGAATGCGATGAGAAAATGCACTGGAAAATGTGGGGTAACAATTGCTTGACATGATATCATCTAACCTCCCCGCAAACGAATCAGGGTGAATGCTGAATAAACAGGCTGTCTGGGAGAAACCTAAGTTCATAATACTAATTTTGATATGTAGTCGCAGACCAGCAAGTGTTTCATAACAAGAATTCAGCAACCAGCTTGTAGTTAATGGCATTATTAGGCCCTGTTCAGAAGTCACAACTTATGGATAGCATAAATTGGCTCAGTGTTATATTTCAATGTATTTAACCATAGTTTTAATTGTTTATAAAAAAAAATTAAAAAATTCTTTTCTCTCTTAAGCTTACTGAAGGCCTAGTGGGCTGTGTGATGGGAAATAAGGGACAGGGCCTTTGCAGTGGCTACACCCAGACTCTGGAATTCCCTGCCCAGAGAGAGTTGTCTCCTCTTTTTCTTTCTCTTTCCTTGATGATCTTCTTAATAATTTTGGTGAACTTTTTGCCACTGTTCTTAAGGTTTTTGCTGCTCTGTTTCTTCTAAGTAATGATGCTTTAGCGTTTTGTCATATCTCGATTGTGCTTTTTTTATCTGTTGTATTTCCTTTTGTCTGCACCTTTGAACTTTTTTGGAATGGGGATATAAATGGCTCAGATCAAATAAAGAAATTAAACACAAAAAGTAAAATGACAACAACAACAAAAATCTAGAGCGAATTGTAGTTTGCCTTTAAACTAGTGGTTGAAGTTAGCTCGGGTCAATTTCTACTCTAAAAGCAAACCAGTAAGAAGTAAGGTTCAGATATAATGTTGAACCATGGCTAACACTAACCAAGGAAGGCACATGCAAGAAATTAGGGGGGGGATGTGTGAGTTTATAGGGTGCTCCCAATCAACAAGCCATGGTTTAAAAGGGGGTGCTACTAAGCTGTGATGCCTGTTGTGTAAAATCGAACTAATATTTTTTTCCTTGATTGTATTTTTTTTACTTCCTCTTTGCCTGAGCAGGAGCCCCACTTTCTCCTTTAATTTTGCTTTTCTCAAAATTTGACGGCAAGTTTTAGTTGACATATTCCAAAGCTGATGGATGGCACTCAATGCCACTGAGGCCACTTGAGTTTCAAGCAGCGGCAAAAGACCCAGAAGGGCTCCCAAGCTACATATTCGCTCCTTTAGGGGGAGTTTAACCTCATCAAGAGCAGGCAACCTCCCATCCTTCCAGTTTGGGGAACCACTCACTAGTAGTGCCTCAGCCTTAACTGGACTGAGCTTTTCTTTGTTGGTTCTCATCCAGTCCATTACCATCATCATCATAATCAAACCTTTATTGGCATCACATACAAACATTCAGAATAAATAGGCCAATGTGATCTCGTCGCCATTTCAACAGTACAGTCATTTGCCAAAGGGAAGAAGAGGCGAGCAATCTATTTCACCTCTGTGGGTCTCCAGCAAGGGCAGGATCCTGTAGCGTACTTCGGTGGCAAAAAATCAAATAGAGGAACTTAGCTACTGTCTTGGTGAGCTCCTGGTCTCTCCCCTGTAATAAGAAGCGTATGACCTCTGTCTCTGGTTTCCATATTGGGATACATAGCTGGTCTAAGAATTGTTGGTGGAGATCATCATACATTTTACATTTAAGGACCATGTGAGCTAGAGTTTCCACCAGGTGGGCATCACATGGGCAGATCCTATCTCCTTCTGCCATACCCGCGAACCTACCCCAAAGGAGGTTAGAAGGAAGAAGGATTAGAATTGAACCTAGCCAGCGAAAAAGCCCTTCTTTCTTGCGGGTTAAACACAAATTGTAAGTAATTAAGGTTAAATTCCTGCGCCCAAGAGAGTCAAAAATAAAGAGGGGAACATGTTTTTTCTGCAGCTGAGATTAGTTCCTGGCGATATATGTCCCACAGCCTAGTTTTTAACATGGCCTGCCTTGGCGGTTGCCAGTCCATTACAAAGGCAAGATTGTGGTATGCTCTAGGATCCTTTGCAGTGCGATGTGGGATGCTGACTCACATTACTCCCAGCTTTTTGCACAACGACTTGGGATGCATGCGTTCATATCATGCATGCTAATTCTGTGGCATCTGTAAACATAGCAGCCAGGATTCTAATAACTGCAAGCAAAGTTCCACTCTTGGAATGGAACTTTTCTGCTTTTTCTTTTCTTTGCTTACATCTGAAGGTTGGGAAACTATCTGAAATGATGTTTGACATAGCCGGGGGGGGGGGGGATTTCAGCTGTGTGAGTGGGAACTGTTGGCAATTGGAGATCCCACACCCCTCTCAGCAGTAATGGAAGCTATATTTTTCCAGGCTGGGCCTTTGGCCCATCTAGTCCAAGACAAAGGATGGGGAACTTGTGGCCTTCCGGATTTTGTTGAACTCCAGTTCCCATCATCCCTCACTATTGGCCATGCTGGCTGGGGCTGATTGGGAGTTGTAATGGTTCTAGGGGTTGCTCGTGCGTAAGCTTGTCCCAACCTCTGGCTGGGTTGCCTGAGTGAACCTTTCCTGTCCGGGCAGCCACTCGCCCGTGACTGTCTCAATCGCTGGCAGGATCCGTCAGTGGGCATTTCTTAAACTTCTTCCAGCAAAGAAGTTCTTTGACGCCAAGTCTCCTCCTACTCTCCCTGCACGGAAGCCTTCTGCGCAAGGAGGGCGTGGGCAGCGGAGGACCCTTCCTCTCCCCGCTGGTCTCCAGCAAGGAGTCATGGGACCGCCTCGCCGATTCCCCCATCTGCCCCCCTTCTCACTGGAGCCACGTTGATTCTCTTCCCCAGAAGACGGGCTGCCTCTCCCACTCCCGGGACGCTCTCTGGGATGTCTTTGGAGCTTGCTCTCTCCCTCGGACACTGATGTTCCCTGACAGGAGTTAAAGTCCAACAACATCTAGAGGACCACAAGTTACCCATCCCTGGTTTGCACTGACTGACAGTCCTTTCTAGAGTTTGAAGGTGGATGTGTAGATGCCAGGAATTGGACTGAGATGTTTTGCATGGTAAACTCATGCTGTGCACCTGAATTTTACATACTGTTGGGTTCAATCCAGTGTTGACAACTGCTTGGCTGTTGTTGTTTGTGCAATCAAGACTTGGAGAAGCTGTTAATGGGTCCTACTTGCAACATTTATTTGTTGACTGGTCATGGGGCCATTGTGAATAAATAGCCTGTCCTGCAAATGTTGGCAGGTTGGAGTTGCCACAGCAGTGGATTATTATTATTATTATTATTATTATTATTATTATTATTTTAAAAAGAAGAGTGCTAATGGAAAACTGTTGTGAACCATGTTGAAGATGGTAGGATGCAAAGTGCAGAGCAGATGCGATTTTTTTAATAGGAGCTTAAAACAAATGAAGGCATTTATTAATTGGGACAGTTAAAATTCATTTACTAAAATACTTTTCCTCAGCAAATAAAACCAGTATGTTTTGAGACTTTCCAAAGTTCTCTTCAAGTGTGGTCCTACTTCACTGACCTCATTAAAACAAGCATCTAAATAATCAGGACAGCAAATGGATTACATTGGGGAAATTTTCCTTGGTTAAAGATACGTTAGAGCTTTGAAGAAATCTGAGCTATCATAGTGGATGTGTTAGAAGCTTCCTAAAATTTATGAGCTGTATGACATCAAATTAAATTACTCCTGTACATGTGCCTGTGTCTGAAGGTTTGATGAATTAATTAAAACATCACGTTTTGGCCTTGTCCTGTTTTTGTTCAAGTTTTGAAAACAAGACTGGTTTGGAAGCAATACATTTGCTTTGTTACAGCTGTAGTTCAATCCAGCATTAAATAAACTGTGCTGTATTTACTTTGATGCTACAGTGTTTATTAATCACCAGGATAAAGCATGATAAAGGCTACTCGTGTTTGGTGAGGAGTGATCAGTGATACAGGAGAAGCTCCTCGGCTCGCCCTACTCTGAAATCCTGAAGAAATATGAAGCTGCTCACAGTTTTTGAAACTGAAAAGGTAAGTTTAGCCCTAGTACACTTATTGAGTGGACTGTGGAAAGGTAGCTCTTTACTGACCCCTAGCCAAGAATTGCACAGAGACAGCAGTTAAGTCCTCTTTACTGAAATCAACGTGGTGATATATCGCAAATCACTGTGTGTGTGCGCTATGTAAAAAATTGTAGTGTGAGAAAACCGTGAAGCCAGTAACTGCTTTTCTCATGATTCCTTCTCCCCGTTGCTCTATACAGTACAGTAGTACCTTGGTAGTCGAATGCCTTAGTTGTTGAACAAATTGGCTCCTGAACGCCATAAACCCGGAAGTGAGTATTCTGGTTTGCGAACATCCGACGGGGCTTCTGCAGCTTCCGATTGGCTGCAGGAGCTTCCTGCAGCCAATCAGAAGCCGCGCTTTGGTTTCCGAATGTTTTGGAAGTCAAACAGACTTCCAGAACAGATTCCATTTGACTTCCAAGGTACTACTATACTATAAAATAACAGTTGTAACAATATGTTAAAGGTAAAAATGTATCCAGAAAGAGGGCCTTTTCGGTAGTGGTGCCCACCCTGTGGAACGCTCTCCCATCTGATGTCAAGGAAATACCGTATTTTTCGCTCCATAGGACGCACTTTTTCCCCTCCAAAAATGAAGGGGAAATGTGTGTGCATCCTATGGAGCGAATGCAGGCTTTCGCTGAAGCCTGGAGAGCGAGAGGCATCGGTGCGCACCGACCCCTCTCGCTCTCCAGGCTTCAGGAAACTATCCGCAAGCCTTGCAAGCCCGGTGGGAGTTCCCGCGGGCTCACAAGGCTTGCAGGCAGCAGCCTGCAGCCCCGGCGAGTGTCCGCAAGCCTTGCGCGCCCGGCAGGAGGTCCCGCCGAGCGCGCGAGGCTTGGGGCAGCAGCCTGTCGCCCGAGCACGGGGAGCCCTCCGGAGGGCTCCCGTGCTCGGGGAGGTCTGCAAGCCTTGCGCGCCCGGCAGGAGGTCCCGCCGAGCGCGCGAGGCTTCGGGCGGCAGCTTGTCGCCTGAAGCACGGGGAGCCCTCCGGAGGGCTCCCCGTGCTTCGGGCGAGTGTCTGCAAGCCTTGCGCGCCCGGCAGGAGGTCCCGCCGAGCGCGCGAGGCTTCGGGCGAGTGTCTGCAAGCCTTGCGCGCCCGGCAGGAGGTCCCGCCGAGCGCGCGAGGCTTGGGGCGGTAGCCTGCAGCCCGAAGCATGCGAGGCTTGGGGCGGCAGCCGCGCGGGGGGGGAAATATTTTTTTTTATTCATTTCCCCCCCCCAAAAAAACGAGGTGCGTCCTATGGGCCGGTGCGCCCTATAGAACGAAAAATACGGTAAGCAGCTATCCTATTTTTAAAAGACATCTGAAGGCAACCCTGTTTAGGGAAGTTTTTAATATTTAATGCTGTATTGTTTTTAACACTCGATTGGGAGCCGCCCAGAGTGGCTGGGGAAACTCAGCCAGATGGGCAGGGTATAAATAATAAATTATTATTATTGTATTATTATTTTAGATGCCTAATTAGTAGCAGTTTCCGGGACATTACCCCATTCGCCTCTACAAAGTTACATCCTTATGTCAGTCGCCATGCTATATCCGTATTTCGCGTTGTTTAACTAGTGATATATCACGATGTTGAAAGCCAGACGTTGCTCAGCCCCAACTTTCAGCCACAAATCTTTTGTGCAGCATAGCTAAGGTACTTGTTAAGAACATTATATGTATTGTATGCTGTGGTAGATCAGTTGGTAGAGCACGAGACACAAGTTGGGCAAAAGATCCCTGTGTTGCAGGGGGTTGAACGAGGTGACTCTTGTGTTCCCTTCCAACTCTATGATTCTGTGGACTGATGATGCAAAGGAGTGCTGGGGAGCCCCTAAGAACCCCCCCCCCCGTGAAGACACTGAGAGCCAAGGGATTGGCGGTGGGTTCAGTAAGCAGGAAGACACTGTGGCAGAGAACAGTCCGGAATCAGAGGCAGGAGAGGAGGTGAAAGCAGGAGACAGAGATGAAGCAGGCGATGATGATGGTGGTGGTGATAATAATAATAATAATAATAATATTTTATACCCCACCCATCTGGCTGGGTTTCCCCAGCCACTCTGGGCGGCTTCCAGCAAAATATTAAAATACAATAATTCGTCAAATATTAAAAGCTTCCCTACTCAGGGCTACCTTCAGATGCCTTCTAAAAGTCAGATAGTTGTTTATTTCTTTGACATCTGATGGGAGGGCGTTCCACAGGGCGGGCGCCACTACCGAGAAGGCCCTTTGCTGAAGAAGCCAGGGAGTCTCCCCCTCCTGCTGCGACCAGCTCCTCGGCTGGTCCCCCAGAACCCGAAGAGGCGTGAAGAGGGTAGAGCAAAGACAGACAAGGTGAAAAAGTCTCATGTTGCTTGGGAAGGACGAGTCTTAGAGAGCAGTGGGAAGACGGGGACCTTCAGTCCTCGCAACTGCCTCATTGGGGCAAGGCCTACTGCGAAGGGTTGCTGTGATCCCTAGACCTAAGTTGTTTTTTTCCTTTGAATAAAGAGTTTACTGGTACCTTGTTATTGCTGGCCTCTTCCAGATTCCTGCCTTGACACATATTGGATATTTTCTGACCCTTTTCATGACATCGGCAACGTCACACAACTTGTTAGAAAAGGGCTCCCCTTGTTCTAAAATGATTTCCTTCGTCTTTCAAACATTGGTGGACATGCTATGGAGCATAAAAACAGAGTCCACCAGGAAAGTCTTTGGCAAGGGGAGAAAAATGGCTTGTGATCAGTGTCTGTAGTCACTTTCCTTTTTTAAAAATTGTTATCGTTCAGTTGCTACGCCACCGAAGAAAATGCAACTTTGCATTTTTGAAGTGCGCAAATGTTCTTTTAGAAGTGCACATTCCCTCCCCCCCCCCCCAGAACTGCTTGCTTTGTGACTGGCACATTTTTAAAAGCCCTGCTGGGTTTGCTGTGTCCAATGCTTAATAGCGGCACGCCCAGAAATAAACCATTGCAAAAAGATACTCTGACAGGCTGATGCTACACAAAGCTGTCTTCAGGAAATGCACTTTCAGAGCAGGTGCTTACGATGCCTCATTAGACGCAGAAAATAAATCTGTTGCTTCTTGTAGAGGCTTGTAGGAAGCCAGGTGTTCACGCCAATTCTGCCCTTCCATAAGATGGATGCTGCAAATACAGTTTGCAAAGTGTGGAGATTACAGCAGGTACGCTTTGCTGGAAACCAACCTCTCAGTGGGCCTGCACAAACAGGTGTGTGGCAGCCAGTTTATTTAAACAACAGAACCAGTTTAGAGGAAACATAGCTCCAGTTGCAAAAGGCCTGATCCGACAGGTCACATTCATGCTATATAGCAATTACTCATAAGTAGGGATGGAACTGCGCTGAAGTAACCATTAAGCAATATAAGCACATCAAGGGGGGCACCACAGAAATTTCCCATTGCTGGAATTACCATGGTGCAGCTGAACAAAAACAAACATTTTTTTTCTACAAATCTACAAAAACAAACATTATTTTCCATCTTACTGTAGGTTTGGTTTCAAAAAATAAAGTTTTATTTTACGGTTTATTATTGTTTGTATTTTTAATTAGAGATATTTGGGGGCACCCAATTCTTTTTAGTGCTTGGGGCCTCTAAAGGTCTTAATCCGGCCCTGAATGGAAGACCTTGTCTGTTTTGGTTCTCATTTTACTAAAATTAAATTGAGTTCTCTACATTTGGCAGCAATTTGCATTCTTTTTAAAAAAAGATCATGAAAATCCACCAGTATTATAGTGCGAATTTCTGCTAATAAACATATTTTTCATGTACACATTTTTGCCGGCAGTTTTCCCTAACATAATGCATTTTTGTGCATTGTTGTCATCAATACATTCATTTTTATGTGTATTTCCCCCCAGTGGATGCATTTTTTAAGCATGGTTTGGTTGGCATAGTCAGTGCATAGCAAAGGATACCTGTGCCTCAGTTCACATATTGTTTTGGAAATTGCAAATTTTATAGATTCAGCTTCAAATGAGACCTGAATCGAATTTCTCCCCAATCCCTACCCATGAGTAAGGTTTACTCCTCAAGTTAAGTCAGTAAGAATAGTAAGTGGGATATACTACACTGCATTAGTTTAAATGGAATGGAGATTGAAGCAAGCATCCCAAACTTTGTTTTGGTACAACTACTCATGTGGACACAATATGTTTACATGCAACAAGAGACAATAGTGCTTCCATACCTTTGATGGTCAT